CCCCTGGCTTAGGACAACTCACCATGGCCAACTCACTGCAGGACAACTTGCTGTGGGATAAGAGTTTCACTAATATTGAAGAAATGGTGGGATAGAATCATTAAAGAAAAGATGCTAAATGTGAATGACAAAAATGAAAATAATTTTTTAATAATTTTAAATTGAATTCTGTAGAGATTCTCAAGTCATCCAGGTATTCTATTCCTTATTACCAGCTGTCTGCAAGGAATATAAAGCCTTCCATTCCCCACTATCCTGTCAAAGCTGAAGAAGCTTCTTGGATGAGAGGCGAAACGTCTTCAAAAGAAAAAACAAGGAAGTCCAGTTGCCTCCTGAAACAGCACTTTTGGGACATTTAAACTGACACCGTGTTGTCCCCTTCTGTCCTCAAGCAACATGGAAATTAAAATTCCAGATTTTTAAAATCCAAGTGTATCTTGAGAAATGAATAAAACTATCATTTTATTTTCCTATCATTCAGTTCACGAGCAGTTTTTCTGGAGAAAATTAAAGGGGAGTGAGGTTTCTTCTTTCTTCTTTGTGAACAGTGGAGATTTTTCCCACTATGGCTGGAAAGCCTCAAATGCTTCAGCCTTGGGTCTTAGAATCCTAGGAATTGCATCCCTGCTTATCTGAACAGCATCAGGTTGGGAAAAGTAACTGTAGTACAGAGTTACAAATAGTCCTTGACTTACAACCATTTGTTTACCAACTGTTTGACGTTACAAAGGCACTGAAAAAAAGCTCGCGACTGGTCCACACGCACATGACCATCACAGTATCCCCATGGTTATTTGATCAAAATTTGGGCACTTGGTTAAAGGCATGTATTTACAATGATAGCAGCGTCCTGAGATCAGAGGTGGTATTCAGCAGGTTTTGACCAGTTCTGGAGAACCGGTAATGGAAATTATGAGTAGTTTGGAGAACCGATAAATACTACCTCTGACTGCCCCCTCCCCCATCTATTCTCTGCCTCCCGAGTCCCAGCTGATTGGGAGGGAATGGGGATTTTGCAGTAACCTTTCCCTGGAGAGGGGAGGGAATGGAGATTTTACAGTATCCTTCCCCTGCCACACCCACCAAGCCACGCCCACAGAACTGGTAGTAAAAAAATTTGAACCCCACCACTGCCTGAGAGTATGTGATCACCATTTGCAATCTTCCCAGCCAGCTTCTAAGAGGCAAAGTCAAATGGGGGGGGGGGGAGCTGGATTTATTTAATGACCATGGGATTCACTTAATTTTTTTTATTATTTTTTTTAATTTGATTTATATGCCGCCCTTCTCCGGAGACTCAGGGCGGCTTACAATGTGTTAAGCAATAGCCTTCATTCTTTTGTATATTTTATATAAAGTCAGCTTATTGCCCCCACAAACTGGGTCCTCATTTCACCTACCTTAGAAAGGATGGAAGGCTGAGCCAACCTTGAGCCTTGGAGAGATTCGAACCAGCAGAAATTGCAGGCAGCTGTGTTAATAACAGGGTGCACTAAACCACTGTACTATCAAGGCTCTTAATTGCAGCAATTTCCTTAATAACTGGCAAAAAAGGTCATAAAATTAGGCATGACTCACTTAATCATCTTCTTTAGCAACAGAATTCTGGGAGCAATTGTGGCCATAAACTGAGGACTATCTGTGGTGTTACCTGCTGTAGCAAATAGGAAAGTGTATTTACACTGGTTCAGTTGCTAAACCTCATTAATAGGAAACATGAGACATCATGGAATGAAATCGATTTTATTTCCTATATTTATAGCGCACCTTAATTGTATATAACTGAAAACTATGTTCTCTCACCTTTCTTCCCCATATCAACATTGTTAGGTAGGTTGGCCTAAGAGAGAGTGACTGGTCCAAAGTCTCCCAGGCAGGTTTAATCCCCAATTGAGCAATTTCATGTTTTCCCAATTTCTAAGTCAAAATTACAAAGGACAAAGACCACAGAATTTTAGAGAGCTGTTTAGCAGAGACAAGTAGTATCTTTGTCAAGTAGATACTGTAAAGATACTGAGGAAACAGACATGGAAAACCAAGAAAAGTTATCCAAACGTTCTCTGAACTCAGGAGGTGAGCCACAAATTGGAGTACTAAAAGATGTTAATGGACAGATAGTAACCAGTTCACTGATGCATAAAAGAACACCTATTCAAGCATTCCCAAACAACAGACCGATAAGTTCCCTCATATGCAGCATTGGAGAAGACTGTTGGACTTCTAAGCAGCCACAAAGCAAGCAAAGGATCAATGTTCTCTTCTCACCTCCAACGATTTTGCTAAACAGGAGCCAGTTTGGAGGCCATACAGTGTCCATTGTTTTAAACTAGTGTTGTCTAGTTTAATAATCCAACCCTGCATAATGAAGGGCTTTATAGCAGTGGTGAAATCCAAATTGTTTTACTACCGGTTCTGTGGGCGTGGCTTGGTGGGCGTGGGGTGGCTTGGTGGGTGTGGCAGGGGAAGGATACTGCAAAATCCCCATTCCCTCCCCACTCCTGGGGGAAGAATATTGCAAAATCTCCATTCCCATCCCACTCTGGGGCCAGCCAGAGGTGGTATTTGCCAGTTCTCCGAAACTACTCAAAATTTCCGCTACGGGTTCTCCAGAACCTGTCAGAACCTGTTGGATTTCACCCCTGCTTTATAGGCGATAACCAGCACCTTGAATTGTAAACTATAAATCTCCATGTGGAGAACAGGAAAACAGTGCAGCTCCAACAGTTCAAAGGAAATCGAAGAAAGACAGAAGGAGTACATGAAAATACCGTACAGTACAAATGTCACCCATCCTTAGAAGGTATTCCTTATATATTCCTTCCCATGATTAATTATAATTTATGAACTTGAATGCTGCCCAGCTCTCACTGCGTCTCTACTACACCATGCATCTTGAAATCTAGCCCTGCGTAAACTGGAGATGCTGAAGGTGTGCAAAAAATGTGGTTAACGACTTTACAACTTGGTGTAATTTTTACGATGCAAACCTAAACCATCAGGATGGTTAATAGGTTAACTTAACCCAGATACTCAGATTATCTAATTCTGGGTTTTATTTAATCGACCAAACTAAGTAATAATTTTAATTAGCAATTTTATGATGTTTGTGTGTCTATATTTTTCTTGACTGTACACCGCCTTGAGTCCTACGGGAGAAAGGCGGTATAGAAATATAATAAATAAATAAAATAAATAAATACTCAGGTTAATTTATGCTGCGCTTCAGCTAACCATGATTAAGCCAGAGGTTTGCCTTTGCTGTTCAAAAACCTGGCCGCCTTTTTGCTGGAAATCTTGGCGTAACGAGGGGGCGCACCTCCGTCTTTTGCCTTCCTCGCTCCCCCACCTCTGCCCCCGGGAGAACCCCCTTCGCCCGCCCGCGGAGGAGGAAGAGGAGGAGGAGGAGGAGGAGGAGGCTTCGTCTCCGGCCGCCGCCAGAGGGCTCTGGGTAGCGCCGGGGAAGAAGCCCGGCTTTCCGTCTCTCTCGTTCCGCGGCTCGGGGCGTCAACGCGTTGAGCTTCCTGGGTGACTCGGTGGCAGCAGCGAACCGGGCCGGGAGAACCGCCCCGCCGCGGGTCCATCCCTCCAGCCGCCGGGAGGCCTTCCTCGCATCCGGCTTGAGTGACCCGGCCCAGGTGGGGACCTGTCGCGGCTCGGTGCAGGCAGCGCTTCGCTGGATGGGAAGGGTTGAATCCCCGCCTGCAGCGCTGCGCTGATCCCCTGTGCCTGGCTGGCAAGGGCAGGGGCGAAGGGGAGCCCCGCCCGCTATTTAACACCTAAACACCCTCCCCCCCCCCAGCTTCGATCATCCGAGATCCTTTTTGGAAGCGCACGGGGGTCAAAGCTACCCTCCGCTAGCGCAAATTAAAGCAGCAGCTTCTTCATCAGGCTGACAGGAGAGGAGGAGTGCACTGATGATGTTACCTAGTTTGGTAATGAAACGTCTGCAAGAAAAGCGCCAAGCTCGGAGGAGGAAGAGTGTGGAAGCTTTGGAGTCCTCCAAGAGCCATTTGTTGTGCCCGATGAAGTGTTCTGCAGAACTCAAAAGCCTGCAGGTTGCTCTTGGTTGTTGAGTTGATCAGTAAAGATACTGTCCATTCATAAGCATGGGGTTCCTATTCCTCCCTCCCCCATTGCATTTTTCTATTAGATAGATAGATAGATAGATAGATAGATAGATAGATAGATAGATAGATAGATAGATAGATAGATAGATAGATAGATAGATAGATAGATAGATTAGATAGATGATAGATAGATAGATAGATAGATAGATAGATAGATAGATAGATAGATAGATAGATAGATAGATAGATAGATAGCCTTGGTGGAGCAGCGGATTAAAGTGCTGTTAAGTAGCACTTAGCTGCCAGCTGCCTGCAATTACTGCGAGTTCAAATGTCACCAGGCTCAAGGTTGACTCAGCCTTCCATCCTTCTGAGGTAGGTAAAATGAGGACCCAGATTGTGGGGGCAATAAGATGACTTTGTATAAAAAAGAACACTGCTTGGGGGGCGGGGCGCGAAAGCCCTACTAAGCAGGTATATACAAAAATATGAAGGCTATTGCTTAATGCATTGTAAGCCACCCTGAGTCTCCAGAGAAGGGCGGCATATAAACCGAACTGATAGATAGATAGATAGATAGATAGATAGATAGATAGATAGATAGATAGATAGATAGATAGATAGATAGATAGCATCAGTTTGAAGCCTTGATCTGTAGTCTTCTTTCTGTTCAGTGTTAGTTGAGTAACAGAATTGACTTTCTCTGAGTTTTATTGCATCCTGGTAAGTGAAAACAGGCTTTAAAATGGTGATTAGGACGCCGCAGCAGTAAGCTGAATTTAATGTTGTTTCATTAAGAACTGAGTACATTACTATATAGTCAGTACCATTCCAATAATAGCATACACTGCATTTTGATTTAGATTTAAGGTAGCTAACGAAATAATACTTAGAGCTACAATGTATTGGGGGGGGGGGAAGATTTGATGACTACAATGGATTCTAAACTGAAGCTGAGTCAGCGTTGTGCAGCTTCAGAAAAGGCGCATGTAGTTTTAGCGTTCATTTGTTTAGATGTCAAATCAAGCCATCTGACTCTGTTTTGTTGACCTTCCTGGATTTTGTTTGGCCAGCTACTGCCTGCATTTAAAATGGATATTAAAAAGATTGGAATGGGGTCAGAGGTAGCAGTGACGCTGGGCAGAGACATAGAAAACAAGCCCTACTTTATTATTTATTAACCAATTTATATAAACTGCCCATCAAACAAATTCTGGATGGTGTAGAAAGAGCTAAAAACATTGGAATGTTGACAGCCTGGAGCAGAAACAGATTAGAGGTCATGTAATGTTTACACAGCACACCGAACCAGAAACTACCCAACCATGTTTTTAACCTTGCATGGTTCTGTAAACTTGGCCCAGTGGTTAGTTTAGACTAAGTTGAGGACAAAAAAAGTCTATCTAGGATGCCAGAACTGCCATCCTTTGTTTTTTGGGCCTGCGGAGGGATGGTATTGCGCTTATACTTCAAGGTTTGACCTTTAAAATTCAGATTGTTTTAATTCTGATCTTCAAAAGGGACCTGTGTCTTTTGCAACCTGCAATCTTATCTGGTTGCCGAGCATTTGATAACCTCAAACAGTTGACAAAAGTAGAGTTTTCTGCTTTGTTTATTTTCCTGAGGCTCCTCGATTTGCCCACTTTCTGTGTGGTATTAAATTTCAGGTTTTGGAAGTACAGGTTAGTCCTCGACTTCCAACTATTCGTTTAGCGACCATTTGAAATTACAGCAGCACTGAGAAAGTGACTTGCAACCAGTCCTCGTACTTGCGACTGTTCCCACAATCACTTGATCAAAAGTCAGGCACTTGGCAGCTAGCATGCATTTATGACTGTTGCAGTGTCTTTTTTGGGGGGGTGAGACGGTATCACCATTTGCAACTTCCCAGCTGGCTTCTGACAAGCAAAGTCAGTGGGGGAAGATGAATAACTGCATGATTAACAACTCAAGTGATCCGCTTAACAACTGTGGCAAAAAAGGTTGCAAAATTGGGCGCGACTCACTTAACAATGGAAATTGTTTAACTTAGCAAATTTGAAATTGTGGTCCCAATTGTGGTCATAAGTCAAGGACTACCTGCAGCCTAAAAAGGTGAATTCTAGAGCGCATTTGACGCATGGAGGGCTGTTGTTCCAGATGCCTGTGGCCTCCAAGGTGGAACGGCCTCCTCGTATTGGAGACTTCTCGACCAGAGGGATATGCAAGAGAACTACGAGACTCTGATCTCTCTGGGTAAGGATCAATTTCTCTGGGTTAATTTGTGAAGCTAAGGAAGCACTTCTACTGGATCAAACCCAAAATCCAGAGAGCCTGACCTACTGTCCTCAATATGGTGGACATTGCTTCTGGAAAACTCACAAGCAAGAAATGATGATATTGTTATTCTCCATCATTTGAGATTAGTAAGGTATACTGTACTTGAATGTGAAGGTTTAATTTAGGTGTCATGGTTTATAGACCTCTCTTCCATGTACTTGTCCCATCTCCACAGAACAGCTTGTTCTCTGCATTTGGAGCAAGGCAGATCGCCACTGAATCACAATTATAAAGTTGCTTAGTCTTCACTAATTGAAGTTCTCCCCAGTATGCTGAACACCAAGTGGTTCTTATCCAGAGTAGTCACAGTGTAACACTGCATCCAGTTTTGGTCACCACACTATAAAAAAGATGTTGAGATTCTAGAAAGAATGCAGAGAAGAGCAACAAAGATGATTAGGGGACTGGAGGCTAAAACATATGAAGAAAAGTTGCAAGAACTGGGCATGGCTAGTCTAGTGAAGGACCAGGGGAGACATGATAGCAATGTTCCAATATTTGAGGGGCTGCCACAGAGAGGAAGGGGTCAGGCTATTTTCCAAGGCACCCGAAGGCCAGACAAGGAACAATGGATGGAAACTGATCAAGGAGAGATTTAACCTAGAAATAAGGAGAAATTTTCTGACAATGAAAACAGTCAACTAATGAAAACAATCAACCAACTTGCCCTCAGAAGTTGGGGGTGCTTCATCACTGGAGGCTTTCGAGAAGAGACTGGGCAGCCACTTGTCAGAAATGGTATAGGGCCCGCAGGCTGGATCTGGCCCGCAGGGTGATTAAATCTGGCCCGCAGGGCCGGCCTAGAAATAGTAAAGGACCAGCCTGCAGTGCCTCTGGCAGCCAAAACAGGACGAGGGGGAGGGGGGGCACGTGCAGCCCCCACATGGCCCATTTTCGACCTGGACGGCTTACTCCATCACTTTGCCTGCCAAAACTGGGCGTGGGGGGTGTATTTATTTATTTATTTATTTATTTTCCAATAAATATGCAGCCCCCCACACCCGATTTTCACTGGCAAAGTGTTGCAGGAGGCTGTCTAAGCAAAAACCACAAGTGGGGGTCTCGTGCGGCCCCCCGTGCCACGTTTTGGCCGGCAGGGTGCTGCAGGAAGCATCTATCCCGTCTCTCTGCCTCTGCCCTGCCTGGCCCATAGAGAACTACAATGCTAATCCGGCCCTTGAAAAAATCCAGTTTGACACCCCCGGTATAGGGTCTCCTGCTTGAACGGGGTTGGACTAGATGACCTACAAGGTTCCTTCCAACTTTGTTATTCTGTTAATTTAGCCAAAACGGACCCAATTGTATCAGTGGCCCATTGCATCCACTTGGTGCCAACCAATCTGCCCAATATCCTAATGGAGTCTTTCGCACTTTTTCTTGTTAGCAGAAGACATGGCAATCACCCTGCCCCGAATCACTGCACTAGCTGAGCCCCACCGGAGAGGGTTGGCATCAGGTAAGACTAGTGGATTTTATGCTCCTGCACTCCAAACAAAAAATGATGTTCTGTGCCTCAGATGCAGTTAAGAACAATTGCTCTGTTCTCCACTTCTGCATAAAGCTTATGTGAATAGACTTTTTTTAAAAAATGTCTCTGTATGTGTGAAAGTGTGATAATCACAAGATACAAGGAAGAAAAATACTGGCCTGCTATTTTTGGCCCAAGATAATCAATGTCTCCAGTCATGCATTCTTTGCTAAAAAAATGTTTTTAAGTCTTCAGTCCTATATATAAATATATAAAAAATGTTCTCAATTAGGCCAAAAAGCTCTCTTGCACACTTCCTGTTTCCCAGGATGGCCAAGAAGATAACATTAAGACATGTGGTTCTCAAGAATGGACATTCAGGAAAGGAGCACTTCTTCTACTAGTGGTAGCTTTCTAAATTTCCACCTCTGAGTCCTGTTTTCCAGCAACTGCTTTTGAGACTCATCCTACCTTTTTGAATATTTGAGATAATTAATGACAATGTGGACTTGTAGCCTTGGGCTGAATTAGGCCCCAGACTTCTTCCACTCCCCATTTAGAATATTTTAAGCTGGTTACCTACTGCCAGCTATGGCAGTAGGTATCAAATCAACCATATTGAACTATGAGTCAACAAAGCCAATTTCTGTACATATGTGGTGGAATGTAGTCTGGAGTCCCAGGAGGGAGGGGCTGCTTTCCAGAGGACAAAAAGATTTCGGAATGTCTGATTGGAAGAAAGAGGGTGAAGGCGGACCCTCCTTATCAGTTCACCAAATATACCTTTAGTTCAGTGGTGAAATGTAAAATTTGTTACTACCGGTTCTGTGGGCGTGGCTTGGTGGGGGGTAATATGACTGGGCGTGGCCAACTTTTTTTTTTTTTTTACTTTTAAAACCATTTTTTCTACAACCTCTTTGGCTGAAGAGGTTGTAGAAAAAATGCTTTTAAAGCCTCTGACAATCCCAGCTGACTTGCCTAATTGGCAGAAGCTTTTTTTTTTTAAGCCTCTGACGATCCCAGCTGACTTGTCTGATCGGCAGAGGCTTTTTTTCCTTTTAAAAACATTTTTTCTATAACCTCTTGGGCTGAAGAGGTTGTACAAAAAATGCTTTAAAAAGCCACTGATGATCCCAGCTGAGCCGCGCAATCATCAGAGGCTTTTTTTTTACTTTTAAAAGCATTTTTTCGGCCAAAGAGGTTGTAGAAAAAATGCTGTTAAAAATTTTAAAAAAGCCTCTGATGATTGCGCGGCTCAGCTGGGCAATGGGAGGGGCAGGGATTTTTGCTACTGGTTCTCTGAACCACCTGCCTCCATCGCTACTGGATCGGGCGATCCGGTCCAAACCGGGAGCATTTCACCCCTGCTTTAGTTATGCAGGTAGTTGTTTTAGTCTGACAAGATTCTGCCTCTGTAGGCGAACAAAATCAAGAAACTACTCAGAAGTAACTCCACGTGACATTCTTGGTTTATGGAGCCTGACAATATATTTATATAACAGCCTTCCCAAACTAGGGAATCTCCTTTGGGAATTTATCTCCCTGAAATTTCCAGATAGTTCTACTACATCGGCAGGGAACCCAGCTGAAGAAGTTGGTCAAAGAGATAGTTCTCTAAGACAGGGGTCCCCAACAGTGGTGGTATTCTGCCAGTTCTAACTGTTTCGGGCGAACCGGTAGCGGTGGCAGTGGAAGGCTCCGCCCACCTACCCGGACGTCATCACTTCCCGTTTTGAACACTCTGCAGATGCGCAGAAGGCCTTGCGCACGCTCACATTTGTGAACCACTAGCAAAGGTAAGTGAATTCCACCACTGGTCCCCAACCCCCATGGCCATGGTCCATTGCAGGGGTGAAATCTAAAAATTTTCCCTACCAGTTCTGTGGGCGTGGCTTAATTAGTGGTCACGTGACCCAGTGGGTGTGGCCAATAATAATAAATAATAAAAATAATAAACAAAGTACATAAAACAATAAGAGGTACCAAAAACCAACTTTTACACTTTACACACACACAACACAACACAACACAATTGACTCACACACAATGTAAAAGCAGCTGCACTTCACCCAAAATGGCCCCTGCAACAAGTAGGAACCTCACACAACCACAAAAAGCTCAAAAACCAACTTTCACACTTTTTCCACACAAAATGCCACATACAGCTTTGTGAGATTTTGTACGTTTGTGTAGTTAGGGTGAAACACTACAGAAACACACCAAATCTCAGAAAGCTGCACAAATATTTTATTATTTTATTTCATTTATATTTTTAGATAAAAGCAGCTAAATTTAAAAGTTCCTTAACTTTAAATTGCTATGTCTAAAAAACTCCTTAAAAAACCCCCAATTAGCTATTTTTTTAAAAAGCTCCCAGTTACTTACCAAATTGAAATAAATAAATAAATAAATAAATAAATAAATAAATAAATAAAATTGAAGGCACAAGGCAGGCAGATTGAGTTGCTCACCGATTGGATTGATTGCAGGCAGGCAGATTGAGTTGCTAGCGGATGCAATGGATTGCAGCAGCCGAAGCAAGGCAGGAAAAGCGAGCCAGCCCGAAAGAAGCAGCAAGCTGCCAAGTGGGCAAGTGGGGACCAGGCAATTGGGTGGGCATGGGCAGGGGGCCCCAGGTATTTTTGCTACCGGTCCTCCGAACTGCCTGCCGCCATCGCTAACGGATTGCCTGATCCGGTCCGAACCGGGAGCATTTCACCCCTGGTCCATTGGGAACCAGGCCATTCAAGCAGTAAATGCTCATGCATGGAACTTCATTTGTGCAAGCGGGGGATGGTGTATATGTCTGCCACTTGCACCAATGGACTTGTGTGCACTTGTCCACATCCCTGCCATCACACGGGACCATTCCCTCCCTCCCCCCTGCCAAGCTGGAAAGGTTGGGGACTCCTACTCTAAGGGTCACCCTAGTAAGCCCAGACAGGCTGTCCTTGACTTGCAGCAGTTTATTTAATGACCATTCGAAGTTACAATGGCACTGAAAACAGTGACTTACGACCGTTTTTTCAAACTTACAACTGTCGCAGCATCCCCATGGTCACTGTTCAAAATTTGGACACTTGGCAACTGGCATGTATTTATCACGGTTGCTTTGTCCCGGGGTCATGTGATCCCCTTTTGTGACCTTTTGACAAATAAAGTCAACGGGGAAGCCAGATTCAGTTAACAACCATGGCACTAACTCAGGGGTGTTAAACTCAAGGCCTGGGGGCCAGATGCAGCCTGTGGGGTGCTTAGATCTGGCCCACGGGGCCGCCGCGGAAAAAGCAAAGGACTGGCCCATGGTGCCTCCGTCAGTGAAAACGGAGCTCGGGAGGGTTGCACGCGGCCCTCCCAAGCTCTGTTTTCGCTGGCAGAGAGTTGCAGAAAGCTGTCGCAGCTGAAAAGGGAGCTTGGGAGCCCGTTTTTTCTGGCAGAGCACTTGGGCCACCACAGGCGCCCCCAACACAAGTGACATCGAGCTGGCCACACTCACCCCGGCCCACCCGAGGACAGATACAATCCCGATGTGGCCCTCAATGAAATCGAGTTTGACACCCCTGCATGCCTAACTTAACAACTGCAGTTTAACAAATGTAGCAACAAAGGTCGTAAAATGGGGCAAAACTCACCATACAAGCGTTTCACTTAGCAACAGAAATTTTGAGCTCAGTTGTGGTCGAGGACTACCTGTATTGAAGTTTTTCCTTGCCAACAGGATTTCCACTTTCTAAATCTGATCTGCTCTCCTGGATGGAGCGAGAAGATTCATGGATTCCAGAACTTCAGGGATGTGACGAAAGGACAATGCCATCTCAAATAAATCCAGGTGAGAGTTGTGGTTTGTTTATTTTTAAATATACAGGTATGTCCACAACTTAACGACTGGTTGCTTAGCAGTTATGAACTACCTGAAAAGGAGCCCTGGTTGACCTGGATCTAGAGTTCCAATAGTCAGGCTCCTTCCTCTGGTCACATGACTGTACTCTGAGCATTCAACAACATGGCTGCCTTTACGGCTGTTTGGAGTCACATGACCACGTTTCACAACCGTTTTGTTTTTTGTTTTTTTTTTAAAAAAGTTTTATTTTATTTTCAACCTTTTTGTTGAAAACCAGCACTTCCGGTTTTCAGCAAAACCATAGCAAACAATGGATTCGCATTTATCGCCACCATGTTCCTATAATGACCACTGCAAAAAAGTTGTAAAATCGTTTATGACCATCACGGCACCTAACTATAATGGGCAGACTCCATTACGGTCATATGTTGAGGACTACCGGTATGGGATGGAATTGCACTGTGTAAGAGGGAAATTTTGTTCCTCACCATCCATGCTAGACTCTGGCACAGAAGCCCTGAACAGTATGATAGAGCAGCTATACATAATTTACATTTATCTTCATGTCTTCTCAGCAGCATGTTAGGAAAAAACAGCAACCAGAATAAACTATATAAATGGAATGACTTCAACAATAGAACAAGCTTTCATCTACTGCAGGAGTGTCAAACTCAATTTCATTGAGGGCCGCATCAGGGTTGTGTTTGACCTCGGGGGGCCGGGTTGAGCGTGATCTGGGTGGGCTCAATGTCACTCGTGTTGGGGTGCCTGTGGTGGCCCGAGCGCTCTGCCAGCAAAAACGGGCTCCTGAGCTCTGTTTTCAGCTGTGACGGCCTCCTGTAACCCTCTGCCAGCAAAAACGGAGGTCAGGAGGGCCACCTGTGGCCCTCCCGAGCTCCATTTCTGCTGGCAGCAGCACCGCAGGCCAGTCCTTCGCTATTTCCAGGACAGCCCTGCGGGCCAGATCTAAGCACCCCGTGGACCAAATCCGGCCCCCAGGCCTTGAGTTTGACACCCCTGACTTACCGCATTCATTTTCATCACCTCTTAAAATACCAAAGCTATCCAATTAGACGGTGCATTTCAAAAGAACAATTGAAGGAACAGAATTCATCAAGTGTTTTTTTTTTATTGAAAAAGTTTTACAAACAACCATTTTTCCCCCCATTTCCCCCCCCATCCCTCCCTAACCCCCCCCAAATGCCCTGACTTCCTGACTTCCCCAAGGTGAAATCCATCCACATTGTGTTATATCATACTTTACCACCCCTCTATTAAACTTCATCAAGTTTAATAAAAACGTTTTCAAAGTTATGAGCAAGCTTGTTTTTCAGAGCTTGTGTTTGGATAAGTGAAAGAAGTGCCATAGAAAAATACCAAATTTTCAGTCTCCAAATCTACAACATGAGCCTGAACTGGTCAATTTTAGCAGATTTTGCCAGTATGTCAGAAAGGCAACAACAGGGTTGTTTTATCTCAGGTTTGCTCATAGATTGCAATAGCACTTAGACTTTATATAAGTCTAATATATACCGCTTTATATACCGCTTCACAGTGCTTTTTACAGCCCTCTCTAAGCGGTTTACAGAGTCAGCCTATTGCCCCCCAACCATCTGGGTCCTCATTTTACCTACCTCGGAAGGATGTAAGGCTGAGTATATATACTACCGGAGTTAAAATCTCTAATCAAAAGTGTATCTTGTAAACCAAGACAGTCGTTGCCAATATATTACCAGCTCACCATAGCTCGGGTGCTGACATATATAAAATGTTTAATACAAATATATGTTGAAATAATGTTATAGCAATCTTCCATTTAATGGAATGGATGGTTCAAGTCACCTCTGCAATATTTATCTCCTCAGGGGAAGAATTGAGAGAAAGGCATGAACCTGTTCCTCCGGAAGTAATTCCTAGCAAAACAAATCTGCAAAAGGTGAATGTCCTAGAGAGGAATCCAATGGAAGCTGAGAAACAACCACTAGGGACTGGGCCGAGGGGTTCCCTAACCAAAGGAAAGGAGCAGCAAGACAAACCCCTCCCACAGACCATGGTTGCTTCCAATCCCCAGATGTCCCTTAGAAAACCACCAGCGCATAGCAAGAACCACCAATGTGCAGAGTGTGGCAAAAGCTTCAGCCAGAAATCCAACCTTCTCCGGCATCAGAGGCTGCACCTAGACAAAAGATTCCACAAGTGTGACCAGTGTGATAAAAGCTTCTCTGAGGCCGAGGCCCTGGTCACACACCAGAAAGGCCACGCAAGCAATAAACCGTACAAGTGTGAGGAATGTGGGAAAAGCTTCAACTGGACCTCACACCTGGAACGGCACCAGCGGATCCATACCGGAGAGAAACCGTTCCAATGCAAGGAGTGCGGGAAGGCCTTCAGTGTTGGATCACACCTGGAAAGGCATCGGCGTATCCACACCGGGGAGAAGCCTTATCAGTGCAAAGAGTGTGGGAAGAGCTTCAGTGTTAGCTCCACCCTGGTCCAGCACCAGAGGACTCACGCCAACGACAAGCCCTACCAGTGTGAGGACTGTGGGAAGGGCTTCACGCTCGGGGCCAACTTGGCGGCTCACCAGAGGAAACATCTGGGCCAGAAGCCCTATGAGTGCCCCGATTGTGGGAAAAGTTTCAGCTTCACCTCTCACCTAGAGAGACACCAGCGGATTCACACGGGAGAGAGGCCCTACCAGTGTCCCGACTGTGGGAAGCGTTTCAGCCGCAGCTCCCACCTTTACAGGCACCAAAGAATCCACACGGGGGAGAAGCCACATCAGTGTACAGATTGTGGCAAAAGCTACTACCTCAGTGCGGCCACCCTCCATCACCTTCAGACATCTCCAACCCGAAGCAGGGACCCCACCAAATGCACCGAATGTAACCGCAAGCGGGTGGCCCCTCAGCCTCCCCCACCTCCTCCCTCCCTGCCAAAGTCTATCGGGAAACCCTTTAAATGCTCTGACTGTGGGAAAGGGTTTGGCCAGAGTTCGTCCCTGGTGAAACACCAGCGGATCCACACCGGAGAGAGGCCCTATCAGTGTCCTGAGTGTGGGAAGAACTTCAGCTGGTGTTCGGCCCTGATCAAACACAAGCGGACCCACACAGGGGAAAAGCCCTTTCGGTGTGGGGACTGTGGGAAAGCGTTCAGCGTCAGCTCCCATTTGGAAAGGCACCAGCGCGTGCACGCTCCCGACCGGCCCCACAAGTGTGCCGAGTGTGGGAAAACCTACGGGGAACTGGCCTCACTAGTCAAGCATCAGAAATCCCACGTGCCTGGGAGCAAGCATTATCGGTGCTCTGACTGCGGGAAAAGTTTCAGCTGGAGCTCCCACCTGGAAAGACACCAGAGAATCCATACGGGGGAAAAGCCCTACCAGTGCGGTGACTGTGGGAAGTGCTTCAGTGTCAGTTCCCACCTGGACCGCCACCGGAGAATCCACACGGGAGAGAAGCCCTACCACTGCGGTGAATGTGGGAAGAGCTTCAGCGTCAGCTCTACACTCTTGCAGCACCAACGAACACACTCGAGTGGAAAGCCTCACAAGTGCAAGGAGTGTGGGAAGCGATTCGTGGCCGGGGCACAGCTGCTCACGCACCAGCGGGCCCACCGCGGCGAGAAACCCTACGACTGCACCGTCTGCGGGAAGAGCTTTGGCTTCGTCTCCCATCTGGAGCGGCACCTGAGGGTGCACACAGGCGAGAAGCCTTACCCGTGCGCTGAGTGTGGGAAGTGTTTCAGCCGCAGCTCGCACCGGAACCGCCATCAGCATACTCATGTGGAAGAGGGGCTTCCGAAAGAACAACCTGAAGTCCAGAAGGGCAGCTCTGTTTTGACTGAGACTAAGCACGCCAAAGAAGTGCTTCCTATTGTTCCTGACCCTCCTCTTTCTCTCATGCCCTCCTGGTGGAGTGAGGTGGAGAGGAACAGCATCCCCCCAGCTGCTTCCACCTGGCCCGAGGCCCCACTGCCTTTCCAGGGCTTCATCCCCAATGCTGTCTCAGCTGGAGGGCTGCGGAGCTGGGGTGGGAAAGGATTCTTACCTTCAGATCCATGGAGGTTAGGAGAAAACAGCTGTAGATGGGCATCCCCCTACCTTCAAGAGGGATGGCCACCCCCTCCCCCAACATCCTAGCTGCTCAAAGCAATTTTGTGGGGTGGATGGGTTAGACGAAGCAATTATCTTCTCTCCTCACTCAACAAATTGGGCAGAGTGCTAATTTTGTCCAATTGGAGCCATGAAGAGCTGGTTTGCAATGGACTGGAATGGAATATAGTTGCTGTCCTAAAAGAGAAGGAAGCCACCTTTGTGTTCTTCTGAGGGAGGTTTACACAGGCCTGGAGCTTTTGATATGAGGCATACTCAGGGTTGCAATAATGCCTGGATCGTATGCATTCTGAAGTGGTAGAATACTGTTGTTAAGAGTCCTTGGTGATCTCTGAGCTTAGTCCTTGCTTATGGACCTTTCATAACCCAACCAGGTAACGTCATCAGTGATAGTTGGATAATGAAAGGTCTGCAAACACCTGTGATGTTACCTTTTTTTTTTTAACTTAGTTGGGTAATGAAAGGTCTGTAAGCAAACACCCAAGCTCAGAGAACACCAAGAAGTGTTCAACCCAGAGCTACAGATATTCTCTTCTATTGAGAGAATACTAGTGGTTTTATCGATGATTTGAACTTGCTTATTACCATAAGTTGGTGGGGAAAAGTTCAAGGCAGCAGCCAGCTGAGCAAAAGCTATATGCTTCTTCTTTACCCAACGATTATGATTAATTGGAAGTGTCAGGGTTCCAAGTAACACCCCAATGAAAGAAGACTCCGAGGCTAGAAGTTCCTCAAAGTTCCACTTTATTAGAGATGTCATATTGGCACATCTGGGAAAACCCGAATCTGAAAGCTCCTGGGTTTTCCCCACCAAAAGGAAAGTCAAAGCCCCTTTCCCTGCACTCATATGTCCATCACATGGTCCAATCAATCCACCGTCCCAACTGGAGATGCCTCCTACTCACGCCACTCCAGGTGCAGGCTGAACGTCCTTGACTCCTAGAGAAAAGAATGTTGTTATGGTTATATAACTCTACCACTCCATGCAATCCCCCCTCCCGTTTTCCCACAGCACTAAGGGTGGCAGCCCTGAAGATCCAAAGAAAAAGATGGCCTCCAGGACTGACATACCAGGCATAGGATGGTGGTGTACGTGAGGGTCCATTTATTTACAGGTAGGGTGTCCCAGCTACCTTCTTAAGGCATCCAAAGTTTACTTGGTGTTGCACCACAATCTGAAGAAGCTGCAGAAAACACACTTGAAGCATTTAGCCTGCCTGAAGTTGGAGAGCCTTGAGAGTCAGTATCCCCTTTCTGGTAGCATCTTACTACAAGGCAAGGAAGGAAATCTGAAACCAGATTCCTCTTCTTCGTGGCATCATTTGTGCTGCATGTAGATTGTCCCAAAGTTGATCTCTAGGTGGGAAGAGACTTCTGCTTGAAATCCCAATGAGCCGCTGAGAATCGTCTCAAGCCAGCTATACCGACAAGTCCCTATCAATCCTGACTGATGACTCTGCTGGCTGAGACTCATGGAGGTTTGCTCTAAGACAAAGGTGCCAAACTTAGACAAGATATTTATTGTAGATCAGTAATGGGAGCCTGTAGTGATGTTTCAAATCCCATAAACTATTGCTATCATCAAGAAGGACGGAAAATGGTGCCGTCAGCCTTGCAAAGTAGTCCAAGCAGAAAGCATGTCTGAATGAACTCCTTCTGCTTTATTGTACAGTTACATTAACGGAAACTTACAAGTCTGAAAATATTTTTTTTTCCTGCATTTACCTGTCAAGAAATTAGGAAGGGTCCCTTCTGAGATATTTGCCATTCCAACATTCCTTTTGTAGGCTAAACTACCTGAGGTTGCACTACTCCAGACAGACCGGGTCTGTAATTTGGGGGTCCTTATGGACTCGTAGCACCTGCTCAAAACACAAGTGACAGTCGTGGCTAAGAGGGTCATTGCACACTTACAGATGGTGCACCATTGTGCCCATACCTAAACCAAGAGGCCCTGCTCACAGTAACTCAAATCCTTGTAATTTCTCATTTAGACCACTGTAACACACTCCATATGGGGCTGCCCCTGAAGATCACTCAGAAACTTCAACTGGTACAGAATGTGGCTGCATGGGTAGTAAATGGTGCCAGATACATGGCATGCATAATACCATTTTTGCCTGAGCTACATCGATTGCCAGTGTTTCTTGGTTCAAGGTGCTAGTGATTAGCTTTAAAGGCCTACATTGCTTGGTACTGGGGTACCTGAGGTATCACCTTTTTCCAAGAGTCTCTACCTGTTGAGCAGAATGGGCATACTGCAGATCCTGTCAGCCAAAGAGTGTCGGCTGATGGAGACTAGAAGATGGGCTTTTTCTACAGTGGCCCGTTCTATGGAACATCTTCCCTTCAGAGATTAAAATGGCGCCAACCCTGTTAGTCTTTCATAAATCCTAAAATCCTGACAATGTTCCTGAGCCTGGGGGCGCCAAATGTGTTAAGGGCCCCACCTCCTGGCTATATTGCTAACTGGCCAAGTATCTCGGCTGCTATATATATTTATGTTGGATGTTTCTCTTGTTTTCTTTTCTTTTTTTTTTATGTTTTTAGTATTTTAATTGTAATATATTTTTTGAATTGTAAACCATCCAGAATCATTGACTGAGATGAGTGGCTATAGAAATGGAATGGATGGATGAATTTTATTGAGAGGAGAGCAGTGGAATAAAACAAAAACTTGCTACAAATAACAATTTATAAATGTTCCTAATTTCCAACACAATAATATTTTCGGGGACTCATAAGTCAATTTAAAAGTAATGAATTTTGCATGGGAGCGTAAAGAAATTTCAGCTGCCATCCTATTGATGCTTCTTTGGCATTAAAGTCTATGGAACTCACTTGCATTTATTTCAGAGTAAATATGTTTTGTTTTAAACATAAAGCACTCATTTGGAGAAAACTGGTAGCACCAGATAAAGTAGAAAGTTGGAATTTATTTTTGCACCCAAGTGATTTAAGTTCAAATCCCACTTCAGCAGCAGAATCACCAGATGATTGGTGTTTGTTAACTCTCTTAGCCTCAGTTCCCCATCTGTAAAATGGAAATTAGAGTTTCTTATTCTGAAGATTTACCATTTAAAAAATATTTTCTTTTGCCTAATCCAAAGTCTGACACTACATTTCCCCAATCTATTATTTGAATTAAAACAAAATACAATTGTATTCAAATAACAGGGATTCCCCAACAAATATTATAATGGCCTGATATATATCATGCTAAGGCAGGGGGTGGCAACCTCTTGCAACACCTTGAACCATTTATCCAATTCCATATTAGTCTGGTGTGTTGTGTGAACCCTGCCAATCAATACTATCCACTTAGTTGGAATATTCTTTGGTTTATCCATCAGTTCCTAATGGTCATCTTATTCCCCACCTTCTAACATGATGCTGAAACAATAATGACAAACATCTGTGAACTGCAGAATTCACTGCAAGAGAATTATTTGACAAATCTGGAACTTCAAAATTCACATCAGATAAGATAGATAAGATATATGCATGCCTGCATCACAAAATAATAATTTCACCATCTGGAATTCAATTAAAAGACTTGTGTAAAAACAACTTAATCATACTCTAATATTAACTATTGTTGAAGTCTGTGGACCACAATAAAGAATGAAACCACAATTGGAGTTAAAGATATTAGTGGTTGAATTTGTTTCCTTTAGTTGCTTTGGCTTGACTCAGTATTTTTACCTCATGCCTTCCAGAGGTGTGAATAGAATAGAATAGAATAGAATAGAATAGAATAGAATAGAATAGAATAGAATAGAATAGAATAAAATTTTTTATTGGCCAAGTGTGATTGGACACAAAAGGAATTTGTCTTGGGGCATATGCTCTCAGTGTACATAAAAGAAAAGATCTCTAATCCCAAAAATGTGAATTTGACTTTGGAATTATGAACATTGGCGCCAATCTCCTTGAAGTTCCGGGTTGAGAAGAGCGGATGTATCCAAATTTGGCGCTTTTCTGTTAATTGTTTTTATCTCCAGAATTGATGAAAGGTTTCACCTGCTGAACAGTTAATGGTCAAGGCATTCTTGAACTATTCCTTCACAAAGGGTTTTCAAATTGTTGTTGAGGGGTGGGGGGGGAGAGACTTTTCCTGCCTGATAATACTGTAGCCTAAGTATGGAAAGATGGTGGACTGAGAAGATACTGAAATGAAAATAATCGTGCCTATCTTTCCTTCTTCATTTTAAACATGATAGAACAGCCATGTTAGTCTATAATGAAAAAAACCAGAGTTTATGCCTTTTAGTAAAAAGTTGTTAGTTGGAAAGGCAGTATTCCTGTGGTTTTCCTTCCCCCTCCCAATTCTAGGAAAGCCCCGAGGGCCATAATAAATGCTTTACTTTTTAAAATGCCTCTACATTGTTTCTCTTCCCGACCCTGAGTAAGTCAGCGTATTATTTCCTAAACGCTTCACGTCTGTATATAATCAACTAATAAACGAACAAACAAAGACAGGGTACTCAGCCCTCAATTGAAACCGAATTTCTCACGAAGTTGGGTAGAGGAAGGTTGCTGGAAGCTGATTGGTTACAAGACAAATCGGACCTGAGTGGAATCCACAAGTCGCGGTAATAGAATGAACGCATCTGAGTGGTGTATAAATGTTCCAGCCGTTAGCGACGCTGATTGCCGGTCGGATCTCTCTGCGTTACTAAAATGGAAGGGGGGCGAGTGGCGTTGCAGCAGGAGGTGGGGTCGAGGCCGGTGGAAAGTGCAATGACTCTGAAAGAAGATTTGCGAGTAGAATTGGGTGAGGGGGATTTCTAAGACTGGGGTTTTTTTTAAGAGATAAAAAGGAGATCGTTATTTGCAGCGAGGAGAATGAAACTATGACACTTAAAAGCTTTAACGTCTAGAAAATAGATTTAAAATAGGAGCAGGCGGGGAAGTGTGTTGAGAACTCTGGGTGTGGTTTATTGGTAGACAGGTAAGGACAATTTGGGGTGGCTTTGTAGTGAGAGAGGAACTGCACATGAGCAAAATGATCTGAGGGACAGTTTTATAATTTGGGGGGCAAGAGAGAGAGTAGGGTGTGAAGAGAAGTTATTTTGTAAAGGCTGATCCTCAACTTGCCTGCTTGTACATTGGTCCCCCTCAACTGGATGCCCTCCTGATTTGTGTTTCTATTCTGTATATTTAGCTTTAACCCCTGAAATTTTGCTTGTTATTTTAATTTTATACCTCCAAAAGATAGGATGGGGGAAGGAAACACTGGTAGCTAAGTGTTTGTGACTGTGTTCACACAACACTTTAAAGCAGAAATTAGCCGATTTCATTTTTGTATCATGCAAACTCAAGCTGTATGATTAATAACTTCCACTGGTTGCATGAGCCTGGGAAGCTGGGCTAATTGAGTTAACCAGGGTTAAGCATCTACTGATATTTCCCAGGTGTATACAGTATAGCTGAATACATTCAGCCTGAGCTTATCCAATACAAAGGTGTATTCCAAGCCCATAGTAAGCTGAGAAACAGTTGCCCTCAGCTGTGATTCAGAAAGGCCACGAATCAAATTGCCCATTAAGAAAATCCACAGTTTTTTCAGGTGGCAAATGGGGGTGGGGGGCATGAAAAAAAAGTAATTTGTAATATTATACTAAAACTTGGTAAAAGGAAACTGGTTCCAGTAAAATGAGAACTAATGTCTTGTTAAACTCTGTTTGCTAAAGGCAGTGACAATCAAGAAGTACTGAATGAGATATCCCAACAAAGCCAACTACACCTGCTGCCTTCCCTCTACTCGAGGGCATCACCGATGAAAGCTACCCCTGATATGCAGCCAAGCAGTTGCCAGTGGTACCCAGAAGCCATGCAAGGTAAGTGACAAGATTCCACTGAACAATAAGGTGGAGCTCTTTGTTGTGTGCATGCTGACTCTTTCTCAGTCTGTTGTTATCTAGTCTGATATCCTAAACTCACCTGGGATAATGGTAGTCCAATGCATTGGAAGGAAGCATCGGATTCGGGAAGTGTGCTTTTCCTAGAAAACAAATCTGTGTAGATGGAGTGTACACTTTACACCAGGGGTGTCAAACTGGCGGCCCACAGGCTGGATGTGTCACACATAGGCCACGCCCACCCCAGCTCTGAATGGGGGAAATGTCACATGACAGCAATGTGATATGGCGAGTTTGACACCTGTTCTACACAGAGTGCACTATCACTCTACACAAAGATTGCATCAGCATCTAATCTACACAATATATATAATCAATATATTAATAATTTTAATATGTGATATGCATACAATTGCAATAACAGATTTACATACCACTTCATAGTGCTTTACAGCTCTCTCTAAGTGGTTTACAACTGTAGCAAAAAAAAGCTTGTAAAATTGGGTGCAGCACACTTAACAATAGAAATTCTGGTTTTGTTGTGCTTACCTGTACTATAATGTTTCATTTGTGCTGCTCTAATATATAATGGATTTGTGTTTTAGGAAAGTTTTTTTATTCATAATGTTCTAAGGAAAAATGCTATCTAATGCCTCTAAAACCTCAAAAGATAAGTCTAAATGTTCTAATAACATTATTCATGATTTTTAAATGGGTCCATATTTGCCTTCACTAAAATCAGGGATTCACTAGAGGATTTTTGAAAACCACAGCATCATGGAATTATATTGCAGGTTTCATTGTGGGTTTTTTGCCCTCAAGTTCATATTTTTTGTCAAAATAAGATTTTTATCACTTTTCTTGGATTTTTGCCCAATTGTAAGCTGGTTTATATATTCCTGGGCTGAGATATGGCTTGTGAATCCAGCAACAGTTATGAATTCAGTAAACTATGACTCACTAGCTAGGATTTATATAGTTGTGTGAACTTGCTAAGAATACTGACATGAAATCTACCTTTCCCAAACTGGTACTGCCCATATATGCTGGGGCTACAGCTCCCAAAATTCCCTGTCAGATTGCTTTAAAACCTACGTATAGTATTGGATTAAATTATTTGAGGGTAAAATGGAGCAAAGGGGAATAAGAAAAAACTAGGTACAAGCGACTTCTTGGAAGAAAAATGGTCATACTTATGTGTCTCTTGTCTTATGTAGATGCTATTCTGAAGAGTCAAGAAGCTCTGCGCATGGTGTTGACCAACCAGGCTAAGTTGGAGAATCTTGTGGATCAGCTCCAGAACACCATGTCTTCTATTGAGGATCGAGTCCAAGCTATTGAACAAGAAATGAGTGTCTTTACTCAGTTCAACAAAGAAATCGATCAACTTGGAGATGAAACTGACTTCAGTGAAATTGCTTTTTACCCAGGGTGAAAGGGTGGTGAATCCAATTACCATCTCACCACCCTTTCACTGATCTGACTTTTAGCACGTCGTACACTGCACTAGAAACAAATGTGATATTTGGCCTGTATCAATACAATTGCTGCTGTTCCTAGAACCTGTTTAACAACTGTTTTAAAATGGCTTACAGAGAATTCTTCTCTCCTGAATCAAAATGTGATTTCTTCTAAGATACAATTAGCCTTGGTCTAGTCCACTGTTTCAGAACCTCAGCAACTTAGATATGTAGATTTCTACTCCTAGAATTCTCCCAGTTGTAAGAGCTGAAATCCATGCATCCTAATGTTTCTGAGGTGAGAAGCATTAACAAGTTACTGGTACTTAAAGAAGCCTCTCATCTACATTATATGTAGTTCATAATCCTCAGCTTTCTGAATGTTTGTTCTGAGGGAGGCCTAAACTGTTTCCTCTTGAGAAGCAGCTTTAAAAATGCTATGCAAGAATCTTTTCTTTTCCTCCCTTAAGTAGCACATAAAACGTTTTTTAACATCTGGAAAATTGGTCACATATGAGCCAAATGAGAAATTCAGAACTGCCTTTTATTCTGTCCCCATTGCAGCCATGCTAGCTCACATACATGGCACCACTAGTTAATTCTAGTGTTAATTGGGGGGAAATGCTTCCTTGACCAGATTTCAACTGTGAAACAATATTGATGTTGAATTCTGATGGTGGGTTTCATGTAATCTTATCCAGAATGGTTATCTGACACGTTCTGTGGTAGTACCATAACTCTTTTGCCACACCAAATCCCCAAATTGCTTTACTTGGGATACAGTCTTGTGAAGGGCAGTCTGCTGTGGAAAAATAGGCTCTAATGAACACTGAATTAAGTATATGCTGTCAGAGGTGATGGTTCCAACTTATGGGTAGTTCTGTGAATATACTTTGACATTAAACACAATGGAATGACATTTATGGTGTAACTAATATTGCTGCCGTTGTTTTGGAAGTTTTCTTTCAGAGGTATTGGTCCAAACTCTTTAAAAAGCCCCCCTTTTCCCAATCTAGACAGGAAAGAAAAAACAATACAACCACATCTATTTCCGTCTGTGTTCTATAGGAAGAGTTAGAGCTGGGTCAAAGCAAACAATCTTTCCAAAGAACTGGCCTAAAAACCAAATTGTCCATATCCAGTCCCTGTTGATTTAACAAAACTGCCAGTTCTGGGTTTGAATATTTTGAATATCTGAATATTTTTCCCATGTCAGTCTGGATAGCTGGAAAAATCTACCTAGGTTGAAAATAGGATATTTGACAAAAGTTGATGGACTAATGGACATATGGGCTCTCTCAGGCTATCCAGGTTTTAGCTCTCAGGGATTATTATACTTCTTGTGATGTCCTCCTCCTCCAAACTCAAATTGAAGGCAGAAAAAAGGGAAAACTGCCTTTCCAGGAGCTACAAAATTTTTCTTCAGAGATTACACAAAATAGTTGCTTGCTGGAATGACAGCTGTGTTCCCACTGTGAGTTGCAGCAGGATTTTCCATTCTCACCTGCTTCTGCTTTTCCATTCTCCAACATTTAGGGAGCGTTCTTAGTTACTGAATATGCTCAGTTTTCAGCCCCGCTAGTTCACATACATAACACCGTTTTAATTCTAGTGCTAATTTGGGGAAAATGCTTCCTTGATCAGATTTCAACTGTGAACAATATTAATCTTGAATCCTGGTAGTGGGCTTGATGTAATCCCAAAGAAGAAGAAAAAAAGCAGACATTGCGTATTTGAATGTAGTATGTGGCTGGGTGTCACTGCGTACTAGTTGGGAGGCTAATATTGTTTAATATTTTATTTTGACGGATTTTGTAATTATTGTTGCATACCGCCGCTGAGATTCGTTTGAGGCGGCTTACACGTTTAACCAAAGAATGTTACTGATGATGTTAATTTAGTTTGGGCAATGAAACATCTGCAAGAAAACAAACAAGCTCAGAAAACACCAAGGACCTCTCATTTCAACCCTAAACTACAACTATCCTTCTTTATGGAAAGAAGCAAGCCCGTTTGGTATAAAAGCAGTGAGGGGTGTCACTATAACCCCCTCAGCCTGCGAAGCCGTCTCGCCTGTGCGCAGACACCTGGCCCTTAGGTGCCGGACCTGAAAGGCACCTCCGATCTGATCCAGCTCCTCGCCATTGGCCACGAGGAGTTCCGCGCCCAAAACATTGTCTCAAGTCGGCGTACGTCGCTTTCGGAAAAGTGTTCCATCGAAGAGAAGCCGAGAAGGGCTCCCCATTGGCATTGTTGGGGCGCAGTCTGGTAACTCCTGTTTCGCACCGATTGTCAGATGGGGAAGACAGACTCAAATCTGCTTCTCTTTTCGCTTTCCTCTCGCATCTTTCCTCCCTAGCCAGCAGCTTTGTTAACTTTAGATATTGAGCGGTTCCATCAGCCAAAGAAGGGGGAAATCGGGTCGAAGAAGAGTAGAATAAAGAAGCTGAGGCTCATCGTTTCCCTTCCAAAGTTCTTGGAAGCAGCGCAGTTTACCTTAAACCTCCCCCCCACCCTGTTGGAAGGAAAAAGAAGCCTTTCCCTTTAAGGATTGTTGGAAGGCAGAGCTTTCCCTTCTTGAATTCAAAACTCCGGGCTGGGAGATAACTTCGAAATGATTGGAGGTCAGCTGCTTGAGAGCAGAATTAGTTTAATGTTTGTAGGAAGGCAGGCATGAAACAAATACAAGCACAGCGTTCCGAGGCTAGCTCCTGTTTGAGCTGTAAGAAAAACCCCTTTTTATATCCTAAAAGGTCTTTTGATTTTTCTATGTGACCCTTTAAAGTCTTTTGAAATTCTTTTGATTTGGCATGTGAATCCTTTGATTTGTGTGTGTGTGTGTGATTGTTTTATGGTGTTTAAATCCTGTTTTTGTTTGTGATTGGGTTCTTCCGTCCTGGATCTGGCAAATAAGTAATCGTTTTATAGTCCACTCTCTATTTTTTGTTTTTCCTAGCCCTTTGTAGTTGTTCCTTCCCTATAATTATTCAGTTTGCTATTTCTGTGTTTTAGTGAATATCTCCTTTTCTCATGTGTTTAAATTACTTTGGCTTGATTTCTTTTCCTTTTTGGGTGTTTGTTTTTCTTTCCTGTGTCCCATATCTGTTTGGATGTGGCAGGCCCCTGTATTTTTTTTCCTTCCTTTGTTGGGGAAAATAGAGTGGCTTCAGTTTCTTAATGGCCCATTGCTAAAGGTGGGGGCTGAAACTCTGCCTGAGTTTCTGCTTATTTTCTTTTAGGGGAATTTCCCTGCTCTTTTAATATTGAGTTTCTCATATCTTCCAACACTCCCTGGCAAGCGGCTTTGTTAACTTTGGATATTGAGCAGTTCCATCAGCCAAAGAAAGGGGAAATCGGGTCTCTGTGTTTCCCTTCCAAAGTTCTTGGAAGCGGCGCAGTTTACCTTAAACCGCCCCCCCTCCCCAATTTCATTTGGCTTAGAGAGAGGCGCCTTCCTTTCTCCTGGCAAATCGGTGTTTTAGGATTTGGTTTAATCGCGCTCCTAATGGGCGTATTTGTTCCTAGTAAAATGGCGTCGGTGAGCCCTCCCCATCATAGTAATGCACGACCTTTAGAAGACTACCCAAATTTCTGAATTTATGAACACGGGGTGTCTTTCCTTACCCACTTTGGACGGGGGCGCTCATTGAGGGAACTGCTAAAGAAATGCGAGGCGTTCGCACACGCCTGAGTTAGATTCCCAAAGAAATGCAAGGAATCTTGACTGGCTCTCCCCAAACAACTCACATTACCGGTCTTCTTTGTAAGAGATTTCACAAGCAGATTTTCAGCCAACAGGAGGATTTTTTTTACTTATTTATTTTTGCTTAATCCTTTTAGCTGACAACAAGGGGTGGTGGTGTGTTTGGGAGAGTGGACAAGTTTCGTTTTCCATTTCCATTTCATCATTTCTGGTGAGGTTTGGGAAATGGCCTGCCTATCAGCTGCCTGAAGAGCTCTCAAGGGGGGAGGAGAATTATCCTCCTCCTCCTCGATTACAAATCTCTGTGGACCTGTGGTAGCGCATTGTGCAGAGAGCAGACACCTGAGCAGTTTGCAAATCCGGTGCCTTTTTGCCATTATCTTGGCCAAGTCCTTCAAAGTGGGCAAGGGGTGGCCAGGTTAGGGAAGGCTGTTCTGCAACATGGAGGCCAAAGGTGAGTGATTGATTCCTTCTCTTTTTTGCTCATCAAAATTGAGAACTACCCTGGTGATTTGCAGATTAATTTACTATTGACCGTTTTGACTGATTATGTATCATGAAGTTATCTGCTCCTAGCAGTCACCTAGATGGTTCTCCATGATGATCTGCCCCCAGGGCCGGATTTTCCTATAGGCTAACTAGGCTTCAGCCTAGGGCCTCAAGATCAAGATTCAGGGGCGGGGGGAGGGGGGCGGGGGAGCCAGCAATTTAACAAAGGGTTCGTGGGTTTTTTTGTAATTTTATTGGCCCACGGAGCTTCAGCATAGGCTAATTGGCCTCCCGGCTCTCAGCTGATTTGTCTGGGCTGTTTTGCTCAGGGCTCTTCTGCTTCCTTGCAAAGAAACGAAACTGAAACTGCTTTGCTGTTGCTGCAAGGTTGGAAAATTAGGCAGGCAGAATTCTTTTCTTTTTCCTCACCAAAAAAGGTACGTGCAAACAATGGGAAATTTAGGGAAAAAGAGAAGAGTTCAGGATTTTAAAACACAAAAGAAAAAAAGCTCTATTTAAATAGGGAATTGTAATAATTGAGATACTATTAATTGTATATTGTGTTGAAAGCAGAAATGGTTAAGTTGTGGTTTGGAGGAATATATGGGGGAAATTATTTGGTTTATTATTATTGGTAAATATAATTAATTGATTTGTAAGAAATTGGATTGCATGGAAATAATTGGAATATTCATGTTCATATTGATTAATATACAAAAAAGGTAGTTATATAACTAATTGATTTATATTAAAATGTTGAATTTATATTAAACAACTAATATTACATAATTAACCAATGTGAGGATGGATATAAAAATAGATGACAATGGGAAGGGGTATAATATAGAATAGAAGGGAAAAATTGAATTTGATTAAGATTAGAGATGAGGATGAAGGGTAATATTGGTTTTTTACAAAAATAGATGAGGAATAAATATGGCAAAAAGGAAATATAGAAATTGTAAATTTAATTGAAATGACTAAACACTGTTTAAATTTGTGAACCGGCCAAATACTCTGTTCAAAGAAAATACATTGTATGTTTGTATGTGTGTTTCTAATTATTGTTATTTATTCATATTTGTTCTCTTTTATTCTTTAAAGTTTAACAATTCATTCTTTATCTTAATATCTTTATATTTGTTTGGGGTTGGCTTTCTTCCCTTTCATCTTTTTTATTGTACAGCAATCTTTCTCCTCAAACCTACCACCTCTCTCTTTTCTTTTCTTCTTACTTTCTCTTCCTCCCCCTCTTCTTCTCCTCCCTACTTCCTCTTCCTTTCTCCTTCTCCTCCTCTCTTCCTCCCTCTCTTACCCTCCCCTCCTACTCTAATTTCCCTTCCCTTCCTTCATCCCTCTCTATTGCTGTATCCTTTTATGCATATGGACTACTCAGAGGGCTGAAAAAGTTATTTCTGACTGGTCCTCGCACTTTTGACCAGTCCTCGAACTTACGACTGTCCTCACATTTTACGTTTTTGCCCTATCTTGTCACCATGGTGAAGAGAAGCAGTTGTGAAATGAGTGTCATGGTTGTTAAGAATGCTACAATGGGCATAAATGATGACCAGTCATAAGTGCGAAGACCGGTCAAAAGTGCGAGGACCTGTCAGAAATCACTTTTTTCAGCCCTCTGGGTAGTCCTTTTGTGCATATGGACTACTCAGAGGGCTAAAAAAGTTATTTTTGACTGGTCCTCGCACTTTTGACCAGTCCTCGAACTTACGACTGTCCTCACATTTTACGTTTTTGCCCTATCTTGTCACCATGGTGAAGAGAAGCAGTTGTGAAATGAGTGACATGGTTGTTAAGAAAGCTGCACGGGCATAAATGTGAGGATGGTCATAAGTGTGAGGACCGGTCAAAAGTGCGAGGCCCAGTCAGAAATGACTTTTTTCAGCCCTCTGAGTAGTCCCTATGCACATAGCCACGCCCACCCGGTCACATGACGAGCTACCCACGCCTACAGTCATGTGACCAACTAGCCACGCCCACCCAGTCACATGATTGCCAAGCCACACCCCCAACTAAGCCACGCCCACAGAACCTGTTGTTAAAAAAATTGAATCCCACCACTGGTGAAAGGGCCTCATAAGTGGAATAGCCTAGGGCCTCTTTTCATCTAAATCCGGCCCTGTCTGCCCCGCACTTGTTCTCCCAACTGTAGACACATTGCCACTGTTAACTGAGTGCATGTGCCTTGCTGCTGGTCTTTCTCTTGGCTTTCCTTCCACATTCCCAGCATTAGAAGCTTTTCCAGAGAGTTGAGTCTTCACATCGTGTGTCCAAAAGAGGTTAATTTGAGCTTGGTCATGTGTGTCTCAAATGAGAACTCTGGGCGGATTTGTTGGTTGATCCATTGGCTGATTTTCCTGGCTATCTAGGGTACTCTCAGGAGTCTTCTCCAACATAAAGTTCAAAGGCCTCAATATTCTTCCTATCCTGCTTCTTAAAAGTCCAACTTTTGCTTCTATAGTTGTCACGGAATACCATGGCTTGAACGATTCTGATGAACAGAATAACAGTTGGAAGGGACTTCTAGTCCAACCTCATGCTTAAGCAGGAGATCTTATACCATTTTAGACAAGTGGTTCTCCAATCTCTTAAACCCTCCAGTGATGGAGCATTCACAACTTCTGGAGGCAAGTCGTTCTCCTGATTAATTGTTCTAACTGTCACGAAATTTCTTAGTTCTAGGTTGGTTCTTTCCTTGATCAGTTTCCATCCATTGCTTCTTGTCCTGCCTTCAGGTGCTTTGGAGAATAGCTTGACTCCCTCTTCTTTGTGGCAGCCCCTGAGATACTGGAAGAATGCTATCATGTCTCCCCTAGTCCTCTTTTTCATTAAACTAGATATACCCAGTTCCTGGAACTGTTCTTCATATGTTTTAGCCTCCAGTCTCCTAACCATCTTTGTTGTTCTTCTCTGCACTGTTTCTAGAGTCTCAACATCTTTTTTATATTGTGGCAACCAAAGTATAATCTTAGAAGTCTTCTTTAACTGCATTTTACTGCATTCCTAGTAGCATTAGAGCAGTGCCTTATTCTCCCCGCCCCAGGCAGGGTCTACATCTTTCATATTTGGGAAAGAAGTTAGAGAAATTGTTTCATATCCTTGGAAACAAGGCTGTGCCAACTCTCTATTGTCCTCTTTCTTTTCAGCTGATATTGCCCCTCTTTTAATAGCAGTGGCTGCAGATGGTGTGCTCTTATGGTTATGAATGGTACTTCTGCTCCTGTTGCTGGCATTGTTGTAATGACCTATGACCATAATGGTGAACTTATGACACGTGTACCAGAGGTGGCACACAGAGCCCTCTCTGTGGGCATGCGCGCCATCGCCAGCTGCTCTTTTGAGTTCCAGCGCACGCATGCGTGTTGGGTAGCTGGTCTTAATGCGCACACTCCAGTGCCAAAAAGGTTAGCCGTCAATGACCTATGACATTTCACAACTTTGATAACTTTTTCACATACAAGGTGGTCCTCACGTTTGAACGTCTTAACAGCGCTGAACAAGTGGGACTTAAGATGGTCCTCGAACTTGTGACCATTATAGTGTCCCCTGCAGTCATGTGATTGCGCTTTGGGTGTTTGGCAGCAGGTGCAAAATTACAGCAGTCACAATGATCCGTGATCACGTGATTGCCATTTGCAACCTTCATTTTGGCTACCAACAAGCAATGTCAATGGGGAAGCCTGCAGAATGGCACACGTCACAGTCATGTGGCTTCCCGTTTAACAACCGTGTATGATTTGTTTAATGACCACAACGGTCATTGCTATAAATCGCAGTCACATAATTTTTCGATTTGCAACCAAGTCATTTAGAGATGGAGTTGCTGATCTCAACTGTGGTCAATAAATGAGAACTTCCCTGCAATAGCTCACATGAGAAATATGTATTGCTGGGACGATGCAAGTATAATAGTATCATTAATTAAATGCTTAATCGGTGCAGGTGAACATGGGAGAATAGCAATAAAACTTAGACTTATATACAGCTTTACAGTGCTTTACAGCTGTCACTAAGCAGTTTATAGAGCCAGCATATTGCCCCCAATAATTTGTGGGGCAAATGGGGCACACAGAGGTAGCGATAGGTGGCAGCACCAATGGGCGGCAGCGATCCCCGCAGCCTGGAACAGCTGATAGGCAGTATTCCGGGAGGCAAATCCAACCACCAATCAGCTGCTTGTTGTAAATCAGGCTGTACTTTAAAATGACTAGGCTGTTTGCTGCAAGGAGGCAAATTGCTGAGAAGCAGAGGCAGATTTTTTTTTCATGTTTTCCTCCCCAAAAGCTAGGTGCGTCTTATACTTCGGAGCATCTTACAGTCTGAAAAATACGGTAAACCAGAGACATTCCTGTTAGGGATATTTACAGAAAAATATAAGAAGGAAATATAAGAAGGAAATAAAATACTTGATACTACACATTTTAACAGCCGCTCGCATAGTTTATGCCCAGAATTGGAAAAAGGAAATACCTACAGATGAAGAGTTAATAAAAAAAAATCTTGGAATGTGCCGAGATGGATAGATTAACAAAAGAACTTAAAGAAAAGGAGGACACAGAATATTACATGATTTGCCATAAATGGTACAAGCGGTTGGAGGAAAGGAAAAATGAGGAAGAAAAATAGGGGGAATTGATAGAAACATTAAAAACTAATGAAAGAATTTGTTTAAGCTTTAGAATTAAGAAATTGTTATGAATGACGAGAAATATATTGTAAATAAAATGAAGGGGACAAGTAGTAAATTGGTGGCGCAGCAGACTAAAGGGCTGTTAACTACCACCAGCTGCCTGCAATTACTGCACGTTCAAATCTCACCAGGCTCAAGGTTGACTCAGCCTTCCATCCTTTCGAGGTAGGTAAAATGAGGACCCGGATTGTGGGGGCAATAAGCTGACTTTGTATTAAAAAAGAACACCACTTAGGGGGCCCGAAAGCTCTACTAAGCAGGTATATACAAAAGTATGAAGGCTATTGCTTAACGCATTGTAAGCCGCCCTGAATCTCCGGAAAAGGGCGGCCTATAAATTGAACCAATAAATAAATAAATAAATTGGAATAATACAAAGAGAAATAAGGGGAAATTGTGTATAATAAAGTAAGACCATCACGAATTAGCTTTAAAAAGAGTATGTATGTGTATGTATATATGTATGTGTGTGTGTATATATATATATATATATATATATATATATATATATATATATATATATATATATATATATATATATATATATATATATATATATATATATATATATATATATATATATATATGTTGTATGTCTTGTATTGTTGTTTTATGTTATAATAAAATAAAAGAAGGAAAAAAAAGAAAAATAAGGTATATTATTTTATTTAGTTTCCTAGTATGATTTATGTTGATTGCTTATTTTGGAGGCCAAAATAATTAAAAATGTAAATATAGTTTCTGGGAAATACACGTTATACACCGTGTTTTTCGGCGTATAAAACACACCTGACTATAAGACGCACCTAAATTTTAGAGGAGGAAAACAAGGGGAAAAAATATTCTGAATCAAATGGTGTAATAATATATTTAATAAAATATAGCAGAATAATTTTTACAACCATGTAAAGTCAACAGAACCATCATCACTGTCATTAACAAATGAGAGACTTTAAGGTTCAAGCACTCTTCTGATTTTCTGGAAACCCCAAGAACTCATCATCACTAGTGTCATAATTTAGGAAGCTCAGTTGTTCACAATCACTGATACCACTTTCTTCGCTACCTTCATATATGATACCATCTTCAGTTCCATCTAAGGCATTGCTAATGCCACATTTTTTTGAACGACAGTGTAACAATTTCGTCCTTCACTGAGTGCCATGATGTTTTCACCCATTCACAAACTTGAGTGACAGTGGGGCCTCCTTATTCATCCAGTAGGTGTCAGATCATGATTACCAGCAGCTATCCATTTGTTCCACTCTTCTCGCATGTAGGCTTTGAATGGTTTGTTGATGGAAACGTCAAGAGGTTGCAACTGGCTGGTAAGACCCTCAGGAATTATGGCTAGATAAGTCTTCATTTCTTTGAATCTTTACTTTGTGGTTTCACTAATATGTGCTCTAAATTGGTCGAGCACTAATAAAGCAGGTTTTTTTAGAAGTCCTCCAGGACGTTGGGACTACACTTTTTCAATCCATACTCTCATTCCATTTTCGTCCATCCATCCTTTCTCGTGGACATGGACAACACCACCTCTTGGAATCACTTCTTTTGGGAAGGTTTTCCTTTTGAATATTAACATTGATGGCAATTTGGTGCCGTCTGCACAGCAGGACAACACAACCATGTAATGTGTTTTCTCATGTCCTGAGGTTTTCATGCTTATGCTTTTGGCACCTTTCAGGACCAGTCTTATTAGAAGGCACATCAAAGGTTAGCAAGACTTCATCCATATTCCCAATCTGGCCAATTTCAAAATTATTTTTCTTCCTGGAATCTATCACAAATGTATGAAAAGACAGAATCTTAGATTCATACTCTTTTGGCATTTTTTGCGCAATTCTAGTTTTGGTGCGCATAGCAAGGCCACATCGCCTCATAAATCTGAAGCACCATGATGGTGAGCCAATAAAATCCCGAATGCCTTTCTGTGCAGCAATGCGTTTGGCTTCATATATCACCATTTTTGTGGAAACTGTGAAGCCACTGTTCCAGTGATGTGTGATCCAGTCTTTCATGTCCACCTTTAACTGGCCACTTTGCAGGAAGCCCACTAAAGTTGTGTTTGCTTTTATCCTTTACTTTTTGCAGCTGATCCACCTGTATTCCCCACTCTCTTACCATTTTTTCAGTTGGAGGTGGTCCAAAATGTTTCTCTGCTGCTCTGTTTCCATGTTCCTCAGCATATTTCACGACTTCCAGCTTAAAAGAGATTTTATACGCTTGTCTTTTTTGCTTTGACATCTTTGTACCGGTATGTACAATGATCCCAGATCTCCCTTTTTGTTTCATCAAGCCGGGCTGGCATAAATTTTCAAATTGTCTAAATTCTATGCTGAGGATCTTAACTGATGAGCCAAATTGGTTTAATTATTTTAAATTGTTTTTATTTCACATTATATGTATGTTATTCTGACTGTTCACTGCCCTGAGTCCTTCGGGAGAAGGGCGGTATAAAAATTAAATAAATAAATAATAATAATAATAATAATAATAATAATAATAATAATAATAATAATAATAATAATAATAATAATAATAATAATGTAGCATCAGGAGGTACCGTAGTATTTTTCTGCAAGAAAAAACAATAATGTGTCCTTTATAACAGTATAGAGCACTATAGCTGAAACCATGTTCAAACATTCATACACAAGATACCGGTATACCATATACAGTACATGCAACACTGGCTCATTACGCCCCTGCCCCAGGGGTGAAGTGTAAAATTTGTTACTACCGGTTCTGTGGGCGTGGCTTGGTGGTGGTGGGGGTAATGTAACTGGGTGGGCGTGGCCAATTTTTTTTTTTAAACTTTTCAAAGCATTTTTTCTAATGCTTTGAAAAGCCTCTGCCGATCAGGCAACTCAGCTGGGATCATCAGAGACTTTTCAAAGCATTTTTTTTTACCACCTCTTCGGCCAAGAGGTTGCAGGAAAAAATGCTTTGAAAAGCCTCTGACAATCCCAGCTGAGCCGTGCGATCATCAGAGGCTTTTTTTTTTTACTTTTAAAAGCATTTTTTCGTGGGAAGAGGTTGTAGAAAAAATGCTTTTAAAAGTAAAAAAAAAAAAACCCTCTGATGATCGTGCGGCTCAGCTGGGCATGAGGGGGGCAGGGATTTTTGCTACCGGTTCTCCGAACCACCCGCTGCCATCGCTATTGGATCGGGCGATCCGGTCCGAACCAGAAGCATTTCACCCCTGCCCTGCCCTAAACTAAGAATAGCAAGCTGAGAATTTTAGGACATTGGTGATTCACCCTAACCCTTTACAAAGACAAACAGGCACTAAGCCTAACCCCTTAACCCTAACCCTTGCCTGCCTTCTCCAGCGCTAGAAGCCAAGCCATACCTCTCTCTGTCTCGGCTCACAGTCTACGCAGTCCAGGAGGTGCGGCAGGCCCAGAGATGCAATGGGGCAGCAGGTCCAGCAGTGATGCGATGGTGTGGCAGGTCCAGAGGCAGGGCGGCAGGTCTGGCAGTGAGCGGGGCGGCAGATCCAGAGGTCTGGCGGCAAAGCGGCAGGGCGGCAGGTCCAGCGGTGATGCGATGGGGCAGCAGCAGTGCGATGGGACAGCAGGTCTGGCAGCGAGGTGGCAGGTCCAGCAGGGCGGCAGGCCCGGCGGCAAGGTGGCAGGCCCGACGGCAGGTCCGGCAGGAATGCGAAGTGGGCAGCAGGTCTGGCGGTGAGTGGAACAGCAGGTCTGGAGGTTTGGTGGGTGTGCGGCAGGCCCAGTGACGGGGCAGCAGGTTGTCCTTGGCTAACTGCTCAACTGGTAGTATCAGCCGATTCTCCTCAATTTAACAAGCGGTTCTGCTGAACTGTTTGAATCCCACCTCTCCGATTGGCGATAGGAGAATACTGCCAATCAGCTGCCTGTTGCTGTTGCCACCATTGCCACCGAATCAACTCCCTCCCCCCTCCCCTCAGGTATGGCTGATGTAACATTCGGTGTGTAAGACACACCCAGTTTTTCACCCTCTTTTATGGAGTGGGTGGGGGAAAGTGCGTCTTATACTCCCAAAAATACGGTATATATGCAGGTAGTCCTTGACTTATGATCACTCATTTAACAAACAGTGATCATTTAACATGATGTTAATGTGACAACAGGTCCTCACACTTTTGACTTTCACAGTGTCCCCATGGTCAAAATTCGGGCTCTTGGCAACCAGCAAGTATTTATGCTTGTTGCGGTGTCTTTAAGTCATGTGTTATTGCCATTTGTGGCCTTCTCAGGTGGCTTATGGCAAGCGAACTCAATGGGGAAAGCTGGATTCACTTAATGACAATGGGGATTCATTTAATGACTGGTGATTCACTTAACGACCAACAGCAAAGTAGATCATAACATTGAGCCCACCTTAGTTAATGACTGCATCCAGTAGTGTTGAAAGTTCCAGTTCCCTTTGTGGTCATAAACAAGGACTACCTATAAAGCATCTGACCAAGCTGTTTTTTAATTTGTGTTTGGTAATGGGATAAACTAAAGAACGAGGAGTTAGCTACCTTCTCAGATAAGGGACAGCTTGACCTCGTGAGGCTGGGCAATCTTAACAAAATCTTCACCCCTTTAAAAGGTCAAAGAAAACCATTTAGAGGCTTTGCCAGTACTGTGGCAGTTACGGCAATATTTTGTGTCCCGTTTTGTGGCTTACCAAGTCCCTAATTCCAAACTCTTTTTTTTTTTCCTTGACAGCTTTTGCCACTATGAAAGAGGACAATAATTTCCCTAAACTTTTTCTGATTGACGAAGAAGCTAATGAGTTCAAACTGGTTTATAGATCTTCCTACCCGAAGAAAGTCTGGGGGCTCTTCTTACAACAATCCACAATGTTGGGGCGTAACATAAAGAGTGGCATCAAAAATACTGTGTCCTGCGTCTTCCACAGGTACCCACTGACTCTGCCTTCCATCAAAAGTGTCACCTTGGCAAGGTGTGGTGGTGGTGTCCTGGTTTTTTTGTTTTTATTATTTTTATTATTGAAGGAAAATAGGCTAGTTGCAAGGTATCCATTTGGGTACCCCAAGACCGCCATTGTCCCTATTAAAGAAGCGGTCCCTAAAAGTCTCACTGTGACAAACCTGCTGGAAGCACAGAAATCCGAGCCATTTTGTGAGGCCATGGAAAATTGCTTCGACACAGCCATCAAGGAATTCACATTGGAGCCACAGATGGTAAAGGAGAATGCCAAGATGATCCTTGAGTGTAACGGAACGAGGAAGGAGTTTGTGTCAGGGAAAGGAGAAAACTATATTGAGGTGTTCTGGGTGGACGGCCAAACACATTACACGGTCAAAGAAGCCAATTCACAAGTCTATGTAGCAAGGCTGAGGCGCCAGTCTTTACCACTCAGCCTTGCCAGCATCTTGAATGTCGACCAACAGCTGGCCTCCCTTGAAGGATCAGAGGAGCTGCGGCAGTGCCTAAATGAGATAATAGAGGAATTTCCCAAGGAACCGCATACTGTGCAGGACAATGCTGTGTTGGAGGTCTCATGCGGAGGGAGTAATGTGACGTTCCGCTCGGGAGATGGAAAGAATGAAATCAACGTATACAAAGATACGCAGGGGAAGATTGTATTTAATGTAAAAGGTAGAGGATGGGCTTGGTGGGCCCGATTATTTGTAAAGCACTAAATTAAGGAATGATATCAAAGAAGACAGTGTGGGTGGAAGCTCTGTGGTTCTGCTGTAGAGGCAAATGATTTACAAGTAGTCCTTGACTTATGACCACAATTGAGGCCAAAATTGCTGTCACTAAGCAAGACAGTTGTGAAATGAGTTTTGCCCCACTTGATGACCTTTATGAGTTGTTAAGTGAATTACTGCAGTTGTTACTGTGTTTCCCCGAAAATAAGACCCTGTTCTTATTTTCTTTCGACCTCCGAAATAAGTACTAGGCCTTATTTTCGGGGATGTCTTAATTTTTCCCCCCTACCCTTGTTTGTTGTGCTGATGCATGCACGAGTGGCATCCCCAGTGTGACGAGCCTCATGGCGTCCTGCCATGAGTAGCTGCATTGGCGCAATGAACCTTGTAGAACGCCGCGGCAGTGCCACCATTCATGCGCAACAACACAAGTGGCTTCACCGGCGCGACGAGCCTTGCAAAGACCCATTTCTGGTGGACTTTGAGGGAGAGAAACAAGCCAGGGTCTCTGATGCATCTGCTTTCCTTGCTCCACCACCACCCACCCGCGCTTGATTTTTAAGTCTGCACCTCACCCCACCTCGTACAATCAGATGATGGGTGGAGCTTAACTAGCCTTTATTTTTGGGGTGGGGCTTATTTTAGGCACAGGTGTGAAAATCGGGCTAGGGCATATTTTTGGGGTATGTCATATTTGGAGAAACATGGTAATAATACAGTTAAGTAAATCTGGCTTCCCCATTGACAAAAGGTCACAAAAGGTGACACTGCAACCGTCAGAAATGCACGCCAGTTGCCAAGCGTCCAGATTTTTATTGCATGACCACAGGGATGCTTCAATGGTCGTGTGGAAAACAGTCCATAAGTCACTTTTTTTCCCCACTTGCCATTGTAACTGAACGGTCACTAAATGAATGTTTTTAAGTCAAAGACTACCTGTATTATAAACAGAAGCATCTTCTCATTTATACTTTCCCACATGCAGAATTACTGGGATGCTATCAGTGTACTGGGCCTATTGATCGTTTGGCTGCTGATAGATTATTACTTGTTTTATATAATCAGAATGCTTGATCAGTTCACAATTCCAGAATTTCTTCACTCAGTAAACAGCTGTAGATAAATCATAAACTCCACATAACAAAAAATAATTAATGGTCAGAATCTTGCAGGGCAATCACTATCTCCAAGAATCCATCAATGCTGTATTTTCTATATTGTATTCTTCTCTTTTTAATGATTGCTTAAATAAAAGTTTTAAATTGTTAACTGGGTATTCTGTTCCTTCTATGATATCCTTGGCTTCTAAACACCCTCTTTCTGTTAGGATATGTTTTGGATACAGTTCCCACAATATTTGTATTACAATGAAGATAAAAAGGAGACAAGATGTTTTTATTCCCTGTCTCAGCTTTCTCACAGCCAAGGGTTTGGCAGTGATATTTGGTGGTCCAAGGTGTCAGATGGGGGAGAAAAGTCTTCTCCAAAAAGATGCTTTGTCTTAGCCACCAGGAAGTTGTTAATGATGTGAGCCTATGAAGACTTCAGAGAGCATTTTAGACAAAAATCTGATAGAAACAGGTCCAGAAGATTATTAATAGGAAGGTTTAAGTGGGAACACTCTATAGGTAGCCCTCAAATTACAAACACAATTGAGGCCAAAATTTCTGTCTGCTAAGTGAGGCAGTGAGTTTTATCCCATTTTATCTGTCTTGCCACCCTTGTTAAGCGAATCAGTGCAGTTGTTAAGTTAGTAACGCAGTTGTTAAATAAATCTGGCTTCCCCATTGACTTCGCTTGTCAGAAGGTCACAAAAGGGGATCACGTGACCTCGAGACACTGCGCCCGTCATAAATATGAGTCTGTTGCCAAGCAGATGGAAGTTTGATCACATGACCATAGGGATGCTGCAACGGTCATGTGAAAAAGTCACATGTCACTTTTCTCAGGGATCATTGGTAATTTTGAACAGTCACTAAATGAACTTGTAAGTCGAGGACTACTTCTACTGTAGATGAAAACAGGAGAAGAGGCACTGGGTAGAAATTAGACCAAGCAAAGGGAACACTTTCTCAACAGCATCTACCATTTCTGCTAAGGCAAGAGAAAATTTACATTTTTGTACACTGTAGCTTGATTCAGAAACGCCAGAAAGCTAACACTAGAATTGGAGCTTGAATCGACTAAATACTTTGTACAAATGCTCTGTCTTACACATTGGCAAAAAAAATCAAAACATAAAATACAAATTAGATGGACATGACCTTGTAGATGACCCTCACTCTGTCAAGGACCTTGGAGTATTCATTTCTAAACAGCTAAGTGCCCGAGCCCACTGTAACAACATTGCCAAAAAGGCATTAAGAGTTGTTAACCTAATCTTGTGTAGCTTCTTCTCTGGTAATGTACTAACTAGAGCAGTGATGGCTAACCTTGCCATCACGTGCCAAAAGTGGGGGGGGAGCGTGGGGGGTTGAGCGTGCACTTGTCCACACCAATAATTCAATGTGCCCTGCCCCCCGTGCATGCATGTGCATGCCACTTTTGGCACATGATGGCCCGGTGGGCCCGGTAGGCCTGTTTTTGCCCTCCCCAGGCTCCAGAGGCTTTCTAGGAACCTGGGGAGGGCAAAAATGACCTTCCCCACCCTTCCGGAGGCCAGAAATGGCCCGTTTCCCGATTTCTGGTGGGCCCAAAAGGCCTGAAAATCAGCTGGCTGGTGTACGCATGCACGCTGGAGCTGAGCTAGGGCAACACGTGCCCACAGATATGGCTATGTTTGCCACCTGTGGCACACGTGCCATAGGTTCGCCATCACGGAACTAGAGCATACAAAACATTTGCTAGACCAATTCTTCAATACAGCTCATCTGTCTGGAACCCACATTGCATATCGGATATAAATACAATCAAGAGAGTCCAGAGATATTTTACGAGAAGAGTCCTCCATTCCTCTAACCCAGGGGTGGGTAACTGGCCCTTTTATGACTTGTGGACTTCAGCTCCCAGAATTCCTGAGCCAGCCATGTTAGCTCAGGAATTCTGGGAATTGAAGTCCACAAGTCCTAAGAGGGCCATAGTTGCCCACCTCTGCTAAACCTTTGACCTCACCCCATTCCTAAGAGGTCTGTAAGGGGCGTGCATAAGTGCACCAGCGTGCCTACTGTCCCTGTCCTAATATTCCTCTTTTCATGTATTCAAATTATGTTTATACTTTTACCTGTTATATATGCTTGACAAATAAACTTATGATTATGATGAAAATAATTACCTGAATCATTAGAAGAGTGTAAAAAAGGACACTCCTGAGCTATTGTCTGCAAAAGTGGATCTAAAATGATTGTAAGGTAGCAAACAGTTCAGGGGCTTTTCCGTTGAACAGATTTTACATTTTGAAAGTAGCATTCTTTGAATCTTGGTAACGTTCCCACTTAACATTCAGAGGGTGTTTCCTGTAATCTCTCTTCAGTTTCCAAACTTGAATATAATTGTCTGCAACTCCAGATTTAACCAGTGAGAGACATTTCTACTTGAGATATTTTTTCTTCTGCTGGAATAAGCAGAACTAATGCTGTTTGAATAACTGAATTATAAGTAATGCTTCTGGTCAGTTTGATACAGCTAAATTTCAACTAGAGTGCCATAAACATTACTATAAATAATGTGTTAGACTGCTTTGAAATAGGCCTGGTTTAACATTTTAAGGTCGGCAATTCAGCGGTTTGAATCCCTAGTGCCACGTAATGGGGTGAGCTCCCGTTACTTGCCCAGCTTCTGCCAACCTAGCAGTTCGAAAGCACGTTAAAAATGCAAGTAGAAAAATAGGGACCATTTTTGGTGGGAAGGTAACAGTGTTCCGTGCGCCTTTGGCGTTTAATCATGCTGGCCACATGACCATGAAGACGTCTTCGAACAGCGCTGGCTCTTTGGCTTTGAAATGGAGATGAGCAGCACCCCCTAGAGTCAGGAACGACTAGCACATATGTGCGAGGGGGAACTTTACCTTTTAACATTTTGAAAAATTGCAGGCGTTACATTAATGAGTAAAAGTAATAATATAGCAGTCTGATTGCTTGTGAAATTATTAAACACCACAGACGCATCTGAACTCAGATCACATCCAAGATGTTTAGCTTAGCAGTAAGACGGAGTCTCTTACCATGAAAAGAGAACAGAGATTTTTAGCATAACATGATGATTTAACTGGGATATTAAAATCACCCAGTTGAAAATCTGGGTTATTTCAGGTTGATGACCAAGAAATACCCTGTTTCCCCGAAAATAAGACCCAACTGGAAAATAAGTCCTAGCATGACTTTTCAGGATGCTTGTAATATAAACTCTACCCCCAAAATAAGCCCCAGTTAAGATTGTCAGCCAGATGGTGCATTTAGTACCATATTTTCCCCAAAATAAGACCTAACCAGAAAATAAGTCCTAATGCATCTTGGAGCAAAAATTAATATAAGACCCAGTCTTATTTTTGGGGAAACACGGTAAATTCTTCAACAAAGTGGTTGATAACCATGATTAAACAACCAATTGGAAATGTCAATTTTGCAAACCAGGAACTCAAATGAATCTAAGACCATTGTAAGACATTTGCAGATGTTCGTTTATAACCAAGATCAAATGCTCATCTTGATATTTTGGTCCAGGACTTGTAATAATTCATAACACCCATTAGCAAAGAATTGCTATGCTTAAACTACCATGCAGACTCAGCCACAAATAAAACAAGATCGTTAAGAACTTGGATGGAAACTGCAAGGAGAAAAGTGACCTAGGGCTGGTCCTTGCATGTACAACTGTCACAGCATCCCCATGGTCACATGATCAAAATTTAGGCACTTGGCAACCAGTGGTTGCAGCATCCCAGAGTCCTGTAAAATTCCCATATGTGGCCTTCCAAATGGCTTCTGACAAGCCAAGTTAATGGGGAAAGCCGGATTTGCTTAAGAACCAGTGTGATTCATTTAAACAGCTGCAGTGATTTCCTTGACAATTGTGGCAAAAAGGTCATAAAATGAGGGGTGACTCACTTAACAACCCCCTTGCTTAGCAATGGTCCCAACTGTGGTCATAAGTCAAGAACTACCTGCGGTCTGTGCTTGCCTAATTCTAGAATTTCCAAATGTTGCCTTCTCCTTATCCTAATGGGCTCAGTTTATCTCTGTGGCTGATCTAAATGTTTGTCCTTGCATTCCTTTCTTATCTGTTACGTGACCCTTTGCTTCTCTGTAATAATAAAACTCTACCTTCCCTTCTAAAATGGCATTTAGGGTTTTTTTTTCCCTAATAGGAGCATTAAACTCAACAGACAATACATCCCAAGCTTTGTGAAAGTAAGCCAATAATTTATAAACATTTATTAAAATTTGTACTGCCTTGACACAGGGATGAGGAACAAGAATTTGGTTTCTTATAGTGAAAGGACAGGGCTGTTTAGCAAGATAAGATTCCCAGAAAATGAGGATTCCTTTTTTGAATATGTATCAAATGATCAGAAGAAGAAACAGGGCCATATTGCTGCAAAATTAGAGAGGGGTAAATACAGATCGTCCTCAGTTTATGACCACAAATAGAGAGGGGTAAATATAGTCCTCCACTTATGACCACAATTGAGTCCCAAATTTCCATTGCTAAGCAAGATAGCAGTTAAATGAGTCCCCCTCCCCCATTTTATGACTTTCTTTTGCACAGATGTTAAGTGAATTATCACAATTGTTATAACATGGTTGTTAAGTGAATCTGGCTTCCCCTATTGACTTCGCTTATCAGATGGTCGCAAAAGGAGATCACAAGGCCTCAGAACACTGTGACTATCATAAATACATGGCAGTTGCCAAAGCATCTGAATTTTGATCACGGACCACGAGGATGCTGCAACTGTTGTGTAAAAAATGGTCATCAGTAATTTTTTTTCAGTCCATTTTAACTTCGAACAGTCACTAAACAAATGGTTATAAGTTGAGGACTTCCTGTAAGAAGGTGTAAACATCATTTACTACTGCAAAAACTTGGATGTCTCTGAATTTTAGCATGAAAATTCTTGGAAAGTGTGCTGCTTGCCTAGCGAATGTTAATTCTTTTATAATGTATTAACCAGTGGTGAAATCTAAAATTGGTTACTACCGGTTCTGTGGGCGTGGCTTGGTGGGTGGGTGGGTAATGTGACTGGGTGAGCATGGCCAAATTTTTTTTTTTTTTTTACTTTTAAAACCATTTTTTTCTACAACCTCTTGGGCGAAGAGGTTGTAAAAAAATGCTTTCAAAAGGCTCTGACGATCCCAGCTGAGTTGCCTGATTGGCAGAGGCTTTTTTTCTTTTAAATGCCTCTGCCGATCAGGCAACTCAGCTTGGATCGTCAGAGGCATTTCAAAGAAAAAAAGCCTCTGATGATCGCGCGGCTCAGCTGGGCATGGTGGGGGGGCAGGGATTTTTGCTACCAGTTCTCCGAACCACCCACCTCCATCGCTACCTGATCGGGCGATCCAGTCCGATCCAGGAGCATTTCACCCCTGGTATTAACTGTGCTTTTCTTTCCTTGTGTGTTTGGGAATTTATTCCCTCCTCTGAACTCCATCAAATGTTGTTCTTCCCTCTGCTTTCCTTCCCTTCATTTCCCAGCTAACCCTTCCCTTCATCTCATTCCGGATCAGAGCATGTGTGTATTCTTGTGTCTCTGTGTTTAACAGTTGTTTGTGAGAGAGAACAATAGACGATGTAAGTGAATTGGATCAATTTCTGATGATGATTTTATGCATTGAGTCCAATCTGTCAATTTTATGGACCAAATCACTCCACCACATCTTCCGATCTTTTACTTCTTCTTTGAGTTGTTTTATGCTCTGGCTGGTGTCAGCTTTGATGTTGTCCAGCCATCGTGTTCTTTGGCAGCCTGGTTTCCTTTTACGGCTAACTCTTCCTAACACAATTGTTTTCTCCAGGGAATTCCTACGCATGACATGGCCAAAGAGACACAGTTTTGTGATTTTGCCTTCTAGTGTCATGTCCGGTCTTATGGGCTGCAGTATGTGTATGTATGTGTGTGTGTGTGTGTGTGTGTATATTTATATATATATAAATATATTTATTTATTTATTTATTATCTGCCCTTCTCCCGAAGGACCCAGGGTGGTGCACAGCCAAAAATAAAAACGAACACATATAAAATGTAAAACAGTTTAAAAGGAATTAAATAATTTGGCCCATTTCAATTAAGACAAAGACAACCCATATAACTTAAAATTGATCTTAGTATTCAGGTATTCTTGGTATTCAGTACTTGCTTCTTTTTTTTTGTTAGTTTCAAGCATTAAGTCTGAAATGGTCTGTGTTGAACTTCGTGATACTTTTGGCTCGTCTCAAATCTTAAGTTACCCTGATACATTCCCATAATGAGAAATCATGGATAGCCAATTAAAACAATTATTTTTTTTTATTAATAATGTTAAAGCCACAATCTGATATCTTGCGTTAAGCTGTGGGTTGCTGGAGAACTGTCAGTACAGTCATATTCAAAGCTCCACCTTATAGACTGTTGCATTCATGCATGTGCATACGTACATACCATACCTTTAAGAAGGCAAAGCAAATTAAATTCAACAGGTCTAATTCTCAATTCCCAGATGCCCAACAACATTTATATAGGATGTTATCACTTTGATAAGTTTTGAGTCTGATTGGCTAAGTACTAATTTGAGACTGGACGAACTGAAAGGTTCTGGTAGCAATATTTTCTGACATTCAAGAATTTTCACATTCAGTACAGCACTTGATGATATTACCTAATTGGACAATGAAACGTCTGCAAACAGCCAACCAAGCTCAGAAAGCAGCAAGGTCTCCACATTCAAAATATGGTCGTCGCTTCTGAACTGCTAACTCCTTCAGCTATTCAGGAAAGCTCCACCTGGGGGCGCTCTTATTTTAATCCGTGATGGCTCAGGGGTTAAAGACACTGAGCTTGTCAGCTGGAAAGCTCACAGCCTGAGTTCGAGACCTGAGCGCCACAAGGAATGAGCTCCCGTTCCTTGCCTCAGCTCCTGCCCACCTAGCAGTTCGACAGCATGTAAAAGCAAGTAGATAAATAGGTACCAGTTCAGGGGGAAGGTAACAGGGTTACGTGCGCCTTTGGTGTATAGCCATGCAGGCTACATGACCACAGAAAATGTCTTCGGATAATGCTGGCTTCCTTGGCCAAGAAACGGAGATGAGCACCATGCCCGAGAGGAGGACACGACTGAAAAGGGAAACCTTTACCTTTTTACCTAATCCTTGACTACCAAGCAGAATTTTCTTTTCATGTAACAATTGCTTGGAAAAGTCTTTTTTTTTTTTTTTTTAATGTTCAGACTTAACTCACATATGCTGCAGAAGCTCAGAAAGGCCATTACCAACTCTCCCAGAAGCAAGAAGGGTGGACCTGGTCTTGCTCAACTCAGCACCTTCTATCCCAGGGGTCTCCAACCTTGGCAACTTTTAAGACTTGTGGACTTCAACTCAATGCCCCATGCTAGCTGGGGAATTCTGGGAATTGAAGTCCACAAATCTTAAAGTTGCCAAGGTTGGAGACCCCTGTTCTATCCTATAGATGTTTTTTGTTTTTTTTACATACAAAGTGTGTGTGGTGTGTGTGTGTGTGTATAATTGTTTTCTGAGGTTTTCACGGGTTTTTGTATGTAGGTCTTTGGTTATTCGGGTTTTCTCCTGCGTAAAATTGGAGGTGTCTTGGCAACGTTTCGACGAAGTCTCATTCGTCATCTTCAGGCTGGTGTTTTCAGCTTCGTGCTTCTAGGAGCAAGCACGAAGCCGAAAACACCAGCCTGAAGATGACGAATGAGACTTCGTCGAAACGTTGCCAAGACACCTCCAATTTTACGCGGGAGAAAACCCGAATAACCAAAGACCTACATATATAATGAAGGCAGCTGAGGTTCCTTTATCAAAAGACTGTATTAGGAGGGGGGGTTGGTCAAAGGAGCAGGGAAGAGAATTAGGTACACACATAATATCTCCCACTTTATTTTTTTGCATGCTGTTTAACCACATATTTGCTGTTATCTTTTCCCGTCTGTATTTTTTGCCCAAACACTAATACAAAGCAAGACAGGCTTTTCTTTCAAAGGTAGATAGCCTTCCACTGTTGCTGCTGGGTATACTGGGATTAAAGTTTCCATGATGTACAAGCATTGGTCATGATATCTGGGAATTATATAAGCTGTCCCCTAACAAACATAGAGGGCAATAAATTAGCAAAGAATATTTTGAGAGTGATCAATACGGATCCTGTAGCCAGCAGGGTGATAGCACGTCACTGCACAGTCAACCCAATTTACCTGGACTCTGAATGTGCAAAGTTTTTGGCTTTTGTCCAATGTCCATCTGAAGAGAGATGTGTTTGATTAGTGGGGGAGGAGAAGATCGGTGGGAAGTTTTACACTGAAAATGTCCTCCTGTGTCTATTTTGGCTCAGCAGTACCTGTCAATGGGCGCTAGGGATTATACTGAAGAAAGCACAGGACAGGGGATTATATCTGTGGCGAAGTACTGGAAGACATTCAAATGCCATTGAAAAGTGACTGTATTTGATTTCTGATCCCTGTTTTTCTTTTTGAATCTGGAATTTCCCTGACTAGGCAAATGCCATAAGCTATTTGTCTCACCATCCAGGTGCCCAACACTCAATTTAGCTCTGAGGGAGTCTACTTGCAACTGAGGTTACGTAGCTGAAATATTGCAGGCCAAAATCTATGAGCTGGGAGAGGTTGTGCACTAGCCCTTCTGATACAATCACAATGCATTCGACTCGTAAGACACGCCGTCAAACATACCACCAGAAAGCCATTCCTTCAGTAGCTAAATCAATATCATGACTGATTCAATACTTTTTCTGTCAGAGGCTGCTTCTGACACTTGATTGCAGCCACAAGTGATCAACAAAGCTTCAGCAATTCATTGGTGGCTTTGAAGAATCAGCTTGGAGAGAACGATTTCCTTAATTTTCCTTGGTTTATAGCATTCTCGCTATGCACTATATAGCTTCCTCCTATCCTGCATCCACTCCACCTGCCAGTAAAAACAGGCTGTCGAGAAATAATGTCCACCATTTATACAAGCAAATGTTAAGTACGTTTGTAACCCCTTCAAGGGGAGATTCCCTCCCTCTACAGTGCACAGAACAGCTTACCTTTCCCACATTTGACCAGCTTTGCCCACTGCCAATGCAATCCTATATGGCTCGTTGCCAAACACTAGACTAAGCTTAACAGGTTTTCTTCCCCCCAGATTTAACTGCAATCCAAAATTTCAGAAACTGAAGTTGTAGATTACAGAAAAGGACAAGGTCTTTGTTGCCCCTTAAGAAAGGTTTGCCTTCTCCAAACCTTTCCTAGTCTTAATAGCCTTAAAAGCCTGACATTAAACACTAGGTGTGAAAACCCTTCCCTTCTGTGATGCTTTGCTGCTTCTGGTTGGGCGTGGCTTAGTAGGCAGGCCACTGATGCCTGCTTTCTTTCCCACGGAGAAGCCGAGTTGGAAAAACTCTCTCTCTCTCTCTCTACATAATTCAAGGGCTAAGCGTAGCAAAGGAAGATGGGGGTTTGGTCATTTCCTTATTCCCAGTCCGTGGGCGGACGGAGGATTAGGGGGGCTGCATTCTTGCGCCCAGCCCGGATACCTGGGTAGAAGAAAGGCCAAAGTTTCTCGGTGAAAACGTCGGTAAAAGTATACATATGGGAACGGTCCGTCACATTGTAGAAGGAGAGCTTGCCTGCCTCGTAGTTCAGGAAGACGCCTACTCGCTTAGGCTTGACAGTGATGTGCAGCGGAGTGAAGGGGTTTGTGGTAGCTGCGTATTTGTCTCCATTGAGTAGCCGTACCCGCCAATAGCCAGTCTCCGGGAGAGAGGTTGTCTCCCCTTTACGGCTTACTGAGTTCTTACAAACTCCCAGGGCCCAGTGAGTCTTTTCTCCCACCTCTACCTCCCAGTAGTGACGGCCTGAAGTAAAACCTACTGTGGCCAGCACACAAGGATAGATTGTAAAGCGTTTCGGGCTATCGGGCAGATCTCGCAAGCGCTGATCCACAAACTTGACGCTCTTGCGGTCCTCGGAGAGCACTAAGTTGGGGTGAGCTGTTTCCGGGTCGAGGGTCAAATCTCCTGCAAGGGGGAAAAAAACAGGACATATATTCATTCGCCTCTGCCATTTCTCTCATGATTAGACTATTACAGGATGTCCTCTCTTCATTTGGCTCGTTTTGTTCCCCCCAGATGATTTGGATTATAGCCATTAAAAGTCTTTTACGATCTGGTTTTTGCTATCAACTCCCCAGGCTTCCTCAATAGCAACATCCAGCAGGTTCTTTTACACAATGAAATGAGGCTGCAAATATATATATTTTTTAAAAAAGCAGTATTCACAACCAACACATATGCACTTCAATCTCTAAGTAGGCTTGGAGTTCCATGGAGTCTTAGTTCTCCATAATCCAGGGGGTCTCCAACCTTGGCAACTTTATGACTTGTGGACTTCAACTCCCAGAATTCCCCAGCTAGCATGGCTGGCTGAGGAATTCTGGGAGTTGAAGTCCACAAGTCATAAAGCTGCCAAGGTTGGAGACTCCTGCTACAGTCCTCACCCAGAAGTCACCTGGAAGCCATTTATTTCGCTTTATAGAATAACAACTCTATGAAATGGAGAGCTGTACTTTGCGACTGCCATGCCGCCTTCAACCCTTGGAAGCAGGAAAAATACCTTGCAACCTTCAGAAGCATAAAAGACTCAGAAAATATATTTAAAACATTTGCCTGGTGCAACAAGCACATCAGAGCGAGGACACAGAGGCTCTTCCTTTGGTGAGACATGCCCCAGACAAAAAAAACTCCCTTTCAACTGTGTTTTGTCAACTCCCAAAGCTTTCCTGACCTGCTCCCGAGTTGCCATAGGCAGGGGGATGGGAAATTGCACCTCACAGCTGCACCAAGGAATTCACACCTCAGTCAAAACAAAACATATCTTAGCTGGCTGAAGTCAAGGCCATCTCCACAGAGACCTGCACGACCCACGAAATTGCTTCGTTGGGGAATGTGACGGGTGGCACACCGTGGGGGGAGAGGGCAACAGGGTCAGAGGCAAGGCGCGAACTGGGTGAAGTCAGAGTTTGCTTCACTTAGGTCGGGCTGACATGGCGCTCCTAATAAACAACTGGATTTTTCTTGCAAAATGGCTTGAGGCTCCTGATTTTATTAGGGCGTTGGTCGGAACCCTGACATGTGTCTTACTTTAGGAAAGTTGGAAGAAAACTGCAACATTGGGTGGGGGTGGGGGTGCAAGCAAGCACACATCTTTGTATACTCCGGTCCCAACATTCAAAAGATTCCTCACTTTTTGATTTTTATTTATTAAAAATGCCCTAGAAGGCAGTGCATCTTCTATGGTACCAATTAAATACACTGCTCAAAAAAAATAAAGGGAACACAAGCAGAAGACATCCGAGATCTGAATGAATGAAATAGCCTTATTAAATACTTTGTTCTTTACATACAGTAGTTTATACACTGCTCAAACAACTAAAGGGAACACAAAACTACTGTATGTAACGAAGAAAGTATTTAATAAGGCTATTTCATTCATTCAGATCTCGGATGTCTTCTGCTTGTGTTCCCTTTATTTTTTTGAGCAGTGTATATTCTGCCAAGCGAATCCCAGTTACCAAGCTAGCAGATATTTCGTTCACTGCTTAGCAGATATTTTGTTTTCTACCTGCTGTTTCCAAGTAGAATACATGAGCCCAAGAAAGGGCAATACGTGACTTGTGCTATTTGTGAGATTACAAAAATAAAATGCCCAACTATTAACAGAAACCAAACAGTGGTGTTAACTTAAGTATCAACGGACACCAGTCAACTCTGAACTCTGGCAATTGTTTTTAAAACCAAGCATTACTTTTTTTAGACCTTTTCATTCAAAAATTAAACAATAACAATCTAGGATGGTTCTATATTTTCAAATAAATTGCTTGAAAATATTTTTCTTAAATTATACTTCCCCCCCCCCCCCCCCGAGACCCTGCTGCTAGTCTGGATGCCTTCGTTCCCAAGGGTGCCACATTACCTAGGAGAAAATGAACTGTGGCCTGATCCAGCAAGGTAAAAACTGGTTATTTACCTGTACCTTCAGTTCTCTAAGTGGCCCTCTATGAATTCAGAAATATAACTATAGCAGCCATGCAAGCATTATGTTTGGACTATTGCATACCTAGGATTTTAGGCAAAAACGTATCCTTATACCAGTAGGCATCTTTAGATACAGATGTCACCTGTCTCATCAATTTCAACATAACCTAATAATACCAATCAATATGTTTGGCACCAGAACAGAATGCACTGTAGCACTAGCAGATAAACCACTCCAATAATTAATTATGGGTAAGAAACCAGCTCTTCATCTGTGATTCACAAACATAGTGATTTATAAACCTTGTACTTCGTGTGGAAGTAAGTGCTCAGAAAGGCTGAAGAGAGGAAAAGAGTCTTTCCTGGGGCTAATAGAGAATCCACAGTATCTCATAAACATTGAGAACTGAGATGAAAGCTGCTTGGCATTAAGACGTGGCATATTTGAGAAAAACAGCAGAACATGACACTATCTTGATCAGGGGTATCAAACTCAAGGCCCGGGGGTACTTAAATCTGGCCCATGGGGCCACCCTGGAAACAGCAAAGGACCGGTTCATGGTGCTTCTGCCAGCGAAAACGGGCTCGTTTTCCTCCCAAGTTCCGTTTTCACTGGCAGAGGGTTGCAGGAGGCCATGGCAGCCGAAAATGGAGTTCGAGGCACATACTACCACATGTGGTGGACATGCAAAAAAGCGAAATAATTTTGGCGACGGATTCAGATGTGGTTAGAAGAAATGGTTGGACAAAGATTAGAATTTGAATTCTATTTTTTATTTTTTTATTTTTATTTTTTTATTTATATGCCGCCCTTCTCCGGAGACTCAGGGCGGCTTACAATGCGTTAAGCAATAGCCTTCATACTTTTGTATATTTATACAAAGTCAGCTTATTGCCCCCACAAACTGGGTCCTCATTTCACCTACGTTAGAAAGGATGGAAGGCTGAGTCAACCTTGAGCCTTGGAGAGATTCGAACCAGCAGTAAATTGCAGGCAGCTGTGTTAATAACAGGGTGCGTAGACCACTGTACTATCAAGGCTCTTAATATTCTTAAATTAAAACTTTAATTTAAAAATAGAATTATTTTTATTAGGAATCATAACAGAAGTACATAGTAAAGGGTCAACATATTTAATATTACACATCATAATGGCAGCGAGAATGGTATACGCCCAACAATGGAAAAATGAAAGTATACCTTTAGAAAGGGAGATAATAAAAGTATTAGTTTGCGCAGAAATGGATAAATTGACGTTAGAATTAAAAAATAAAGGAGAAACAGAATATCATGATGTATGGAATAGATTTTACCAATGGATGGAACTAAGAGGTGGGCGTTGGAACAGGAAATAACCAGGATTTGTAAACCTGAAATGTGATGTAATATATGAGTACATTGAGTAGAATAATTATATATAATTAGTAATGTTTGAAGAGTATATATGTTATTTGTTTTATATTTTAGTGCATATGGCGGAGATGATGCCAGGATGATCGCACTGTGTCCAATATTTTAATAAGAAATGAATAAATATTAAAAAGAAAACGGAGCTTGGGAGTCCATTTTTGCTGGCAGAGCGCTCGAGCCATCGCAGGCGCCCCCACAGGAGTGACGTTGAGCTGGCCACACCCACCCTGGCCATGCCCATCCCATCCCCCACCCCCCGAGGTCAAACACAACCCTGATGTGGCCCAAATCTTGATGAACTGACTTCACACTCTTTGTGAAGTGAATTTTGTGAAGCTTTGCTATCTCAGAACAAAGCTTCAGAATTTCAAGAATGCATTTCCGTAGCAGTGGGTCCTTCCTTCCTTCCTCCTTCCCTCCCTCCTTCCCTTTCCTACTATGTGATACAATACAATGAAGATAAAATCCTCTCCAGATTTAGGACACTCTAGATCGAGTGTTCTAAACTGTTGAATGTGTTAGTGAAATAATCTGCAAAGGAGGGAAAAAACTTTAGGGAGATAAGAAATATCTGGCTGAAGGATGGAGCTTGAATGGAGGAACAATTGTGAGAGGAAATATCTCCCTCATCGTACAAATTAAAGCAATTGCCATGAGGAAGGCAATTCTCTCTGAGGAATGATAAGAAACAAGTTTTCAGTTCAAAAGGTTTAAATGTAAATATTGAAACTCCAGGCTAGAAGCAAAAGAGAGAGAAACAATCACTAAACAATCACTTCACGAATAGTATTATCTGAGAAAATGGAAGCACTGTCTACCTAAACATGGATGTTAAGGTGACATCAACTTTTAATGAGGAAAAAGAGAGACAATGCTGGACATAACAAAAACGATTAAGTATACAATGGTAACATGCTGCAAATTTCATGGATGTCTGCCATCCAAAGTATATCCTTTACAGGCAGAGCGTCTTGTGTTGTATAAAAGACTTCCCAACTGAAATCAAGTAGAATTCAGGTCTGACTCTGCCATGCCATGAATTTGAGTGACAGCAAATCCAGGTATTTCATTCAGTCCTTATAAAGTTCCAACAAGTTTTTGGTAGACAGATGTATATGCTGACATAGTAAACACCGAACCATGTAAATCGGGGCCGTTCAGGCTATGGCAATTAAGATCCAATCAGTTCTGTCTCTATGACTTGAAATAATCCGGTCACAAGGATGAGAAGGATTTTGGAATCTCTTAACCAGCTGCAGCACTAATGAGTTTGGCTACAGTGGCAAATAGAACATCTGCTGGAGGAACAATGCCAGAGAAGTGTACCTACATCACTTTGTCACTTTCCATCCATATTGTGTAAGCAAGGAACAGCTTAGAACATCTGATGGGCATCCAGAAACCTTAATCACTTTTTTCATGCATCAGTTCCAAAGGTGCAGTGAGAGTAATAATTAAGGGGAGAACTTGGTTCCTTCCTGCTCATGTATGTTACAGACTGTAACTGTGTTGCCCAACATGGAATGTTCAGTGATACTTTCAAAAACAATTAGGTCTTAAGTAGCACTAGAGGTCTTAAGCTTGTCTTAAGCTACTCTTTAACTATGACCCTTTTATTCCTAGGAATAGACAATATGTCCACCATTTTATGAAGCAGGCATCCAGAATCAGAGCTGGAGAGATGGGGGTTTGATCAAATTGTGCATCTTCTACTAAATTGTCCACATATTCTAGTGAGGCACCTACTCTTCTGGGGTGTAAAGTGCCACCTGACAGATGTTTAATATCTCTGCAACCAGTAGGAAGTACCAAGCACCAAGTCACAAATGAAGTCTTGTAGTTTGCTCTCTTTTGATTCAGGAGGTGTAAGGCCACACGAGCAAAACCTGCATGGGACCAGTGTAGAGATTGTATAAACTTTGTCTGAAGTCAATCTCAACAATCTTAGCTCCAAGGAACTTTGGAACCTGAGAGAAAGAGAAGTATGGTTTCTTCTGAAGTTAACTTTCAAGCAAGATTGGGGCCATACATATGCCCTATATAATTATTTTCAGGTAGAAACGATTGACAGCCAGTCTGAGTATTCGATAACCACCATTTCATGCATGTAGAGATGCCGCTATTGCTGTTATAGATATTGAAAAACATAAGCCATAGTTTAGCTGAAAGAGAGGCATCAGGATTTTTGATTGCTGAAAACGATATTAATGTGAAAACATACACCTATCACGTCAGGTTGATGGATGCAAAGCACCACCCTTCTTGTAATGGTGGAAGGATAAAATATTATCCTGAATGTTGATGGGAGGAAAGAGTTCATATCCCTCATGTCCAGGATGGGCCCCAATTGTCTGTCCTCAAGGGCAGCAACATAGCTGGAATAAAAATTCTGCCAGATGTCATGGAGAAAGTCTCTATTATGTCTTTGAATAGTAGCACATGTACCTTCCAGAAGAATGACTGACTGACTAGGATGGGAATACAAGCTTCTGTGAACATGACTGCGGTGAACATGACTGTGGTGCCTCAACAATGATAGTATGTTGGAAAAAGAACTGAGAGCCATCATCCTTGACTTTTGATATGCTGCAATTTGGTTGTGTTGTCCCATATTACTTGGAAATTCAGATCCTGTAGAGACAAATCGGGTTGTCTGTCATTCAGGGCTTAAAAAATGTGAGATAAATCTTGAGATTCAATAGAAACTTCAGTTCTCCAAAGGAAGGAAAAAGGACTTGGGTCTCCAAATTCTGCAGTTCAATGTAAGAGATCAGCTAAGAGGATCTGCAAGCATTTTCCAATCTTCTGACGAATTCTCTAGGAGATGTGCCACTGTACCGCTACATTGTCCTTTAAAGATGGAGACTGTGCTTATTTGGAAAGCCTGGTGGTAGTAGAAGCTTCTACAATACCCATGGTACCTTAACCATCCCACCGTTACTATCCTCTAGTTGTTATTTTCCAATAAGTATATTTGATGAATAATAATTATGTGTGTGTGTATTAAATGTGTGCAGAAAATCCTAAATGATGGAGGGTAAAATGAGATTACATATCCCTATTCCCAAGAAGTGGCAAATGCTAACAAAGTAATAAATGCGAACATTTGTGATTTTATAGAATGTGTTTGGAAGAGCCACAACTCCTTTTGAGATTGTTAAGTATCTATCAACTTCTTACTCATGATCTATGTCTAAAATGATGCATCGTGTGCTGGAACACTCCTACAGCCATAAACTCCTATCTCAATGAGAAAACCCAGATACCCTCTGGGGAACTTAGATAGTTCAAAAAAAAAGTAACATTTATAGGATCATTGTATTTCCAAGAACAGAAGGGGCTGCTTTCAAATCACCCTTTCAAGATAGGTTCTTTTCAGTTCCATTCGTATGAAAAGGATCTAGTTCTAAGGACTTGTTTATACTCGGCGTCTGATGCATCTTGTTGCAATGTCCAACAATAGTCAGCCAACATTGATGGATTCCAGTTGCCCTGATACTATTTTTTTTCATTGTGGCAATGTCCTGGTGAAACCTCTCACCATGTTCATCAATGAATGCACCTAGATTTTGGGGAAAGAAATCCAGGTGTGAATGCAGAAAATGAATCTTCAATGACATGTTGCACTTCATGATCTTGTATGCTGTAAGAAGTTTGTCAACCAGCTGAATATGGTTTGTTGCCGCGTCGTTGCCAAGGCCATTCTTATCGACATCCTTGAATGCTTTCCAGGTGATTTTCTCTGGCCCCACTAACACACATCTTCAAACAATTTGTTACTGACGACATATCTGATCCGTGGACCAACAAAAATACCTTTCTTAATCTTGACATCAGGTATTGTTGGGAACATCTGTCTCAAATAAGGAAAACCATCACCTTCCTTGTTCATCATTGTCATAGCATTTTTCATCAGTCCGAGTTTTATGTGGAGTGGAGGCAATAATAACTGCTGGGTCAACAAGAGGTTCATCTGCCATGTTTTTCAGTCCTGGAACCAAATTCCTTCAGCGTGGCCATTTGTTTTTAATGTAATGCGGAATCTCTTGCACGGCTGTCCCAATTGCATATGTAACAACAGTTCATTGTGAAATTCCATGCAGCTGATTCACTTCTTTTATAATTCTACAGATATTCGAGATGTATTCATTTGTTTCATTCATATCTGCAGCATGGCCAACAGGTGCTGATGGTTGTACATTGCCTTTGTGTAAAAACAGAAGATTATAGAACGGTACCTGATACGTTAAATTACAGGTTATTTTTGCGATTAACAACCAAAAAACTACAAGATAACACCAAAAAGTTTTCAGGGAGCAAAATTTTTGTTGTCTAATGAAATCAACGTTTAAAATTTGGCAGACAAACAAGCAGGTAAAGGTATAAGAAATATGTTATGATATAAGCCAAGGGTGTCAAAACTCGATTTCATTGAGGGCCGCATCAGGGTTGTGTTTGACCTTGGGAGGCCAGGGTAGGTGTGGCCAGCTCAACGTCACTCGTGTCGGGGGGCATCTGTGGTAGCCCAAGCGCTCTGCCAGCGAAAAGGGGCTCCCGAGCTCCGCTTTCAGCTGCAACGGCCTCCTGCAATCCTTTGCCAGTGAAAACGGAGCTCGGGAGGGTCACGGACAGCCCTCTCAAGCTTCGTTTTTGTCAGTGTGTATGAGAGTTCATGACTGGAAGAGACATGGCAACAAGGTCAGCCAATGAAGAGACATGGCAACTGGGTCAGCCAATGCGGGCTGTTTGGAAACTGAAACTGAAACTCTGCTTGTGTTTGCTTGTACCTGCTACCACATTGGAAAACCTGCTTTTGGTACTGTTTATTTACTTCATGTGTTATATTATATATAAAGAGAAGTTATTGAATCCTGCTGAATCAGTTACTTGTGTGTGCTTTCTGGATGATTGCTGCTGCAAACTCTGACAGTTTTCACTGGCAGAGGCACTGCGGGCCGGTCCTTCGCTGTTTCCAGGGCAGCCTCGCAGGCCAGATCTAAGCACCCCATGGGCTGGATCCGGCCCCTGGGCCTTGAGTTCGACATCCCTGATATAAGCCAATGTAGCAGCTGGACTCTTGAGTTTTTTCAGGAAATACTCTTTATTTACAAATAGTTTAAACTGGGACCACATGACTAGTTCAATTTGCCTTCCAAATTTGGTACCTTCCCAATGTATTGGGATACCAAATTCCCGAATTCTCAGGAATACATCTGTAAAATAACGGATTGTGAAAGACTGATCTACATTAGCTATTGTTATTTCACAGCATTGTATGACAGATCATTAGAGGTATTGGAAGATCCGGTTGATAACTTTTCTGATTAATGCTTTTTGCCCCAAAGTATAACCCAAGGGATACAGCACTTCTGGACTGCACCACCTTTCTTAGATAACGGATGGTTTTGCCTGGAAATGTGCCACATTCTCCAGAAACATAAAAAAGACACATCTGGAGGTGTACTTCCACAGGAGCAGCCAGAGGCAGCAGGCAGCCTCCTAGTAAATAAGCACTGTGTAATAGTTTAAATGCCCATGATGATTATTTAGCGATTGGGCAAGTACAGATAGTCCTCGCTTAACAACAATTCATTCAGTGGCTGTTCAAAAATTACAGGCCTCCCAGGGTCTCCCCCATCCCCTGAGGCACTCTGCACCCCACTTAATGCATTCCACTTAACGACCATGACTGGGAAAGCCAGGATGCAGCCATAAAGTCAGGCCATGTAAGTGACCTGCTTAATGGCCTCGACTTAGAACCAAAATTCCAGGCAAATTGAGGATTACCTATAGCCATTTTCCAAGACCTGCCAGATTCCAGATCAAAAAGGGTAGCTTTTTTTCCCCCATAAAGCTCTTTCCATCCACATGGAAAAAAATACTGCAGGCAACATCATAACTCACCTGTGAGTCTCTTAATAATTTTGCGCAGGACAAAGTATTGTCTTGGGAAACTGTAGAAATTTTTTTCTAGCTCAATGGAGACCTGACTTGACTTGTGGGCTTGCGCCTCTTCACATCTGCGTGGAAAAGAACAGAGCAACTGGGTAAAATCCAGTCAATCTCAACTCTCACCCCACTTTTTTTCTTTTTTAACCCCAGCCTATCTCTGCCTAAATAAGGCTCTTCCTGGCCACCTAGTCAAAGCTGATAAACATGCCACGCTACTGAAACAACTTCTGGGGCCGGGGCAGGTAGTCCTCGACTTACAACAGTTCGCTTAGTGAAATTTCAAAGTTACGACAGCACCGTAAAAAAGTGATTTATGACTGTTTTTCACACTTACAACCCCTGCACCACCCCCATGATCAAAATTTGGACGCTTGGCAACTGGCATGTATTTATGACAGTGGCTCCGTCCTGAGGTCATGGGATCCCTTTTTGTGACCTCAAAGTTCAATGAGGAAGCCCGAGTCACTTAACAATTGTGTTACTAACATAACTTAACAATTGTCCCAAGAAGGGTCGTAAACTGAAAGTTAATTAACAACTGTCTCGCTGAGCAACACAAACTTTGAGCTCCACTGTGGTCATAAGTCGAGGACTATTTATAATCAAGTTGGATCGAGGAAAATCTGATCAGCTACACATCGTGAGCAAACCTCTATTTTACATCTACGCCTTTACTGAATTGAATTTCAGAGTTATCCTATTGTGGCTAAAGACATAGAAACATAGAAAACTGATGGCAGAAAAAGACCTACCAGTCCATCGAGTTTGCCCTTTAAGTTTTTTTGTTTGTTTTTACTTTATTAATAATAAGAGCTCGATGTTGTATGCTTATGGATAACATCAAACCAGATGGTACAAACTATTTTTAATAATTTATTGTAACTAACATTCACATTAAGCCAAATAGACATTTTTCTTGGTATTATTATTTTTTTAAAATGGTCCCAAAATGCAATTCAAAGCCCAAGTGACATAGTAAATGTCACTAAAGACTGTGAATCCTGGTGTAAAGTATCCCACCTTAACTTCATTTTTTAAAAAAATAAATGAATTAAAAACATGGTGTCAATATAGGAACACATGCACTTTTCTCCAGATACTCAACTTTGATCTTTCATTTTTAAATTAGTTGTATTGCTTCACTGATGGTAACAATAACAATCTTGCCAGCCTCTATAAGAAGCAGCAACTGAACTATCGAATTCATTGAAAAGGAATTTGTTCCTTACCTCTCAAATGTGCTCCTCACGTCCTGCAAAAAGACAGGAAATAATATTAAGATTTCATCTGATCTTAGAAGATCCCACACATTAAATTTAAAAAGTCCCATTGCATGAGGATCCCCATCAACTTATTCTGTCCTCCCACGGCATGTTTGCAGAGTTAGAAACCAACACATTTGAACAGGAAACTACATGAACTACACAAATTGCACTCACAAAGCCACAGAAATGAGCTCTAGCCTCATCAACCATCAAATAAATATCAGTCAAAAGAGGATGGACACAGGAAACAAGAGAGGCTTACACAACCTTGACAAGCAACCTAAAGCTGGCATTTGAAAATCACTTCAAATGAAAGAAAACTGCAATTTTGAAGCTGCAGCAGTAGCAGACACTCAAAACTAATTAAATTACTCTGTGTGATCATGTAATATTGGTTCTTTTATTTCAATCACCTTTTCTAGCCATACACATCTTTTAAAGAAGTAAATAACATTGTAATTCTTGAGCCTTCCAAGGGAATAAACACTTTGGCATATGTTTAGAATGACAGAGATGGAAGGGTCCAACATTCCTATTAAACGCTTCCAAGAATGCTAGACTAGGACTAAGGGAGCCCTGACTCAACACCCCCCCTCCCAACCCTAACCCTAACCCCCAAAAAATCCGGAATTTATTCTTTACATCATTCAATTTAATTGTCCTTATAAACCCACTGTAAAAATGCAGGTAGACCTCAACTTATAACCAAAATCGGGACTAGAATTTCAGTTATAAATTGTTGCGGTCATAAGTTGAGAAATCCATGTGACTGGATCCAATTTTTTGACGGTTTTTATGGTGGCTGTTAAGCAAATCACACAATCGTTAAGTGAATCCATTCTCCCAAATGGGAGGGTTTTTTTTTTGCCAAAAATCAGCAAAATAAAAAACTTCACAAATCTCAGCCACATGATTGCAGCATACTGCAACTGTTTGTGATAGTCACTTGCCAAACACCAAAAAATGTGGTAATGTGACTGTAGCCTGGTGCAACATTTTACCACAGCTGGAAAGGCTTTAATGGGCTGTAAACCGACTTTTCCAAGGCCACTGTAACTTCAAACAGTCATTAAATGTCCAGTCATAACTCGAGACTACCTAGAAGCAGCTAGGGTAGGCAGGCAATTACGTGTGCAGTCTTGAGTTCTTGAAAAGTTGATATATATTCTCAGAAAGCATTTTCCTGTGGAAATTTCTTAAAATCTCCCAGATTTTTCCGTCTGATTCTAAACCCACTCCTTGTTATATGCCAAAACAATTTGAATTATACCAGAAATGCCCAGTTTCTTCCCAGAATACACTTTGTTCTCTAATTCACAGACAGCAGCACTTAAAATTCCTGGGGGGAGCTCATACCTGGAGCATGTCCATGCCTGACTGCAAACACTTTTCCTCGATTTCAGTGATAAGGCTGTTGAGGGCAATCCGTTGTTCTGACAGCTCCGTCACATTTTCCTTCAACTTCTGTAAAATTTCCTTCTCCTCATTTTCTAGGCTTTGCATTAGCATGTCCTGCTCGTCGGCTATGAAGAGGTGTAGCTCCTCAAACTCATTAATGATCAGCTGACGACGGTCCTCAACCTTCCGCTGCAGATGCATAAGAAGAAACAGTTGGATAATATTGGAAAAAAAACATTTCTATGTCTTGTTTCTTGACCTTCTTCGATGGATCAGTTACCGTATTTTTTGGAGTATAAGACGCACCTTTTTATTATTTATTTATTTATTATTTTATTATTCATATTTCTATGCTGCCCACTCTCCGAGGACTCTGGGTGGCTTACAACAATTGACAGTATACTAAATAGCATATTGCCCCCAACAATCTGGGTCCTCATTTTACCCACCTCGGAAGGATGGAAGGCTGAGTCAACCGTGAGCCAGTGAGATTTGATCCGCTGATCTGCTGAACTAGCAGTCAGCTGAAGTAGCTACAGTACTGCACCCGAACCACTGCGCCACCCCCTAAAAGGGGGTGAAAATTTACGTGCGTCTTATACATCGAATGTAGCCTCACCCACTCACTCGCCCCCATCCTTTGGCCTCTGCCTCGCAGCAGTTACCTCCTTGCATGCAAACAGCAAGAAAAAACAGCTTTCAGCTTCAGCACAGCCTAATTAGCACAAATTATTATTATTATTATTATTATTATTATTATTATTATTATTATTAATAATAATAATAATAATATTAATATTAATATTTCTATTTCTATACTGCCTTTCTCCCATAGGACTCAAGGCGGTGTACAGTCAAGAAAAATATAGATACACAAACATCATAAAATTGCTAATTAAAATTATTATTATAACATAGTTTGACCCAATTAAATAGAACCTAAAATTAGATAACATTTTAAAAACATTCACATGTTCATATGTTTAGCCCCGCCTGTTGGAACACCAGGGTTTGATTGGATCTGCCTCCCGACTCTCAGCTGATTTGCTCTCAGCTGATTTGCTCAGGCTCTGCTGCTTGCTGCAAAGAGGTAAATTGCTGGAGCAGATTTTTTTCTCCCTTGTGCTAATCAAGCTATGCTGAAAACTGAAACTGAAAGTAAAGCAGGCTGTTTGTTGTAACGAGGCAAAATTGCTCAGAGGCAGAGGGAGATTTCTTTTTCTTTTCCTCACCAAAAAAGGTAGGTGCATCTTATACTCTGAAAAATACGGTATTTTTAATAAGCTTTAGTACTATTGTGTTACTTTTCTGAATGTTCTTAATGCCTCTAAATATCTCTGAAGAATTTACATTCGGACTCCTATCGGAGAAATTTTCTTTACAGGTAGTCCTCAATTTACGACCACAATTGGGGACAGAATTTCCATTGTTAAGTAAGGCAGTTGTTAAGCGAGGTTGATTTGATGACCTTTGTGCCATGGTTAGGGAAATCACTGCCATGGTTAAATGAATCACCTGGTTGTTAAAGTGAAACCAACTTCCCCTATTGACTTTGCTTGGCCGAATCTGACTGGGAAGATTGCAAATGGCGATCACGTCACCCCTTTTTTACAACCCCAACCGTTGTAAATATATGCCGGTTGTCAAGCTCCTGAATTCTCTTCATTTGACCGTGAGGACACTTTGACGGTTGTATTTACGAGGACTGGTTATAACTCCTTTTTTTTTTTCAGTGCCATTGTAACTTTGAATGATCGCTAAATGAATGGTTGCAAATCAAGGACTACCTGTATTGTTACTATTTGGAATATTACACTTTTTAAACATTTCTGAAAGCAGGAGCGACCTTTCTTATCAGCGACCTGGGTATCATTTAAGGATTTGGTCATGTCATAAGCACTCTCAGCTGTAAGAAAAATGTGTAAATTAACTAAAGTGGGGACAAAGGTACAAAAGGCTGAAGTTTAACATTACATTTTAAAACTGTTTTTCTTTTTGGCTATGGTGAAGAATTAAATTAGGAATAAATACTCTGTCCTTCGACAGTGAACAGAGGACTCAACACCTGCCTTGAGTTCCCCAGCCTTCTTTTCTTCTCGGGATTTGCAGTGGGCGATCTCTTGCAATTTCTTTTCCAATGGCCCCAAACATTTCTGCATCTTTGCCTGAATTAAAAGCAAAACAAAACCAAAAGTACCATGTCTGAGTCAGAGCCTGCAAAGGTAGCTAAAAGAATGAGCGTCAGAGCCTACAATTGCTTTGGGAAAATGCACATACAAGCACAGCAGCTGATATGAAGCATCAGATCATGGATAAACTAGCTGCCAGTTCAGCAATTCTGAGACTTTTTAGCTTTCTCAAAGAACTGAATACATCATTTTGGCAGAGTTAAAAAAAACCAAACCAGCTGCGGCTAATTCCCGCGCTTTCAGTATAATTAAAGATTAGATAGCTCCCTCCCTCCTGGTCATATTGTCCAATTAGCTTTTCTGGCAACTCCTTGATAACCTCTTCCAGTCTCTGGCCAGCACCTGATAGGATGACCTTGGTTACACAAGATAGTAAGTTGTTGATGTCTGGTCTGGCATTCCAAAGCTCCCTCCTCCCTCCCAAAGTATGTCAAGCTGAGAAACTGAGAAACTGGTTGCAGACAGGCCAATCCGTTTCGAAGTTGACACTAGCTACAGTAAATCTCAACACTGATTATCAAGGCTCAGGGACAGGGTGGATTTGATTTAAATCGAGTTGATTTAAATCATGATTTAAATCACTAGTAAAAAGGCTTGATTTAAATCAACTCGATTTAAACCATAATTTTTAAAGAGCAACTGTCATCTCTGCTGCTCCTTTGACCCACTGTTGACTCACCGATAGTCCCAGTGTTGCAGAATTTACAGCCTCATGCTACATAACTAAGCTCCATTTCATGCTGAATAAACTAAATTATTTATGTATCTTAAATAGAAAACTATCTTACGATAGATTTTTACCCCAAAAGTTTTTTATTAAAATAAATTCGATAAAAATAAAAAAAAATCCGATTTAAATTAAAAAAAATCTGATTTTTTTTTTTGATTTTTAAAAAAAAATCATTGATTTTTATTCCACCCTGCTCAGGGAAGAAGTTTCATTAGATAATATGTTAAAAGATGCCAATAGATGTCTTATGACAATTCCTGTTGGCTACAAGAGCAGCAGCACACACCCAAAAGGGGACACGGAGCCTGGTGGAAACCTCTCCATACTTTCTGAGGAGCTTCTGGGTCTTCACATCGGTAGGCTCCATGTCCTCTTTTGGGTGTGTGCTGCTGCTCTTGTAGCCAAGCATTTCTAGGACTACAGCATCTGTGTATGTATCAGTTCATTAATACCCTATTTCCCCCAAAATAAGACATCCCCTGATAATAAGCCCAATCGGGCTTTTGAGCACATGGCAATAAGGCCAAGCGCTTATTTCAGGGTTCAAAAAAAATATAAGACAGGGTTTCATTTTCAGGGAAACACGGTAACAGGAATTGTCATTGGCATCTTTTAATATATTATCCAATGAAACTTCTTCCCTGAGCCTTGATAATCAGTGTTGAGTGTTTACTGTAGCTAATGTGAAGACCCAGAAGCTGTTGTGGTCCGCTGGCGGCCTGTGGAGCTGGCAGCAGAGTCGGACAGTGAGGAGGCTGGAGAGGAACATGGGCCAGTCTTGGAGTTTGGGGGAGGCTTGGACGAGAGCTCTGCGTCAGAGGCAGAGATGGGGCCAGGGCCATCTGGGAGTTATGTGCAGACTCCGGAGCCTCCAGAGTCGGATATCAGCAAGGCAGAGGAACAGGGGGAGCCTGTTGCGCACATGCGCAGAGCTTCCAAAAGGCAAGAAGAGTTAAAGCAAAAGGGACGACTCGGGAGTAAGGCTTGGAGATGATTGGCCCCTCCCATAAGAAATAAAGGAGAAGCAAAGGCACGTGGGCCTTTGCAGGAAGCAACGTTGTTCGTGCTGGCCAGTTTCACTTCTGCAGCTCCGTTTTGACGTGTCAAGGGTGGGTGCTTATCAGCTTTATCCCGAACGACTGCGGCAGGCATCTGTCGGACTCTTTACAACTATTTGGGACTCATCTGTGAATGAACAAAATTCACAGCCCTTGAAATAAAGAGGGTTTTTGGGACTCATTGTGTGCTTTTACTGTATCAGGAAGCCTAGGTCAGAACAGAAGCTCCTCAGAAAGTACGGAGAGGTTTCCACCCCAAGTCCAACTGCAGAGACTATATACCAGCCAGAAAGAGGGCAGGCTATGATAGTAACATCATGGAAGAAGGAGTATGAGAATCTGGAAAAGTGTCAGCGCCTGCAAGAGGAACTAGAAGGCATGTGGACAGTAAAGGCCAAAATTGTCTCAGTGGTGGTAGGAGCACTTGGGGCTGTGACTCCTAAACTGGGACACTTTCAGCTCTAACAGTTCCCAGGAACAACCTCAATGCTCTCTGTCCAGAAGAGTGAAGTGCTAGGAACAGCAAAGATACTGCACAGAACCCTCAAACTCCCAGGACTCTGGAAGAGAACCCTAGATTGAGGAATGATGCAAAGAGGGATTTTTAAAAAAAATATATCTCCCATTTCAAATCTTACTCAGCCATGAATTTAAGAATTGATCTTTGATCAAGCAACCAATACCCAATACCCGTACTACTTTTTTTTTGAAGTTATTAATGCTGCCCCACAGCCAGAATTAGACAGGTGTCATTTCAATCTTATAGGAAGGCCATAGCTCAGTCTTGCATGCAAGAAGTTCGGTCTCTATCTCATATCCAATTATTGAATTCTGCCTGAGGTCCTGAAGAGTTGTAACTCTTTAATAAACAAACCAGAATCATCAACAGTCAATATTTTCATCTAGTACCACTTTATCTTTCATACTGATGTATTTAATGTAACTGATACTGATACAACTGGCCTCTTCCCAAGGAGCTAACAGACTGGAACCCAAATGAGATTGCCAAGCAAAAGTAGGCATTCAAGGGAATACTGAGATTTGAAGAAATATAAAAATAAATCTCAAAACTTAACAACTGCTTAAAGGCCACCAGGAGCTACTGAATACTTGAACATCGGAGGGGGGGGGGTGTTGGGGGTTGATACAAACAAAAAAACAAATGGGAGGGCAAGGCTGAAACAAAATGCCTTTAACAGTTTAAAATTGGGGATTTGTTGGTCATGAGCCCCAAAAGCTCAGAAGAAAACTCTGGTCCCAGTGACTGACCCAGATTGGGTCCTGCAACATTATCCTGGGACACATATATATTTGCATTCATTCGTGAGTTTAAAGTTGCCTCTCACACTAGCACTTTCTAGCTACGTGGGAACCACAGAACTGCAAACCAGCATGAAAAGGCCACCTTCACTGAGACTCCAATACCTTCTGGAGCATCCTGGATTAGAAAAGATTGTTCTAAGATACTTCAAAAGAAGACATGATCATCAACACTCTTGTTGCAAAACAGGCTCTGAATATCATTTTTTAAAGCAAAACTTCAAAATATAACTGATCAAAAGAAGACACACCGATACTACCCAAACTCATTTGATACAGAACCCAAGAAGAGAAGAGGTATACAGGTAGTCATCAACTTATGACCGTAATGGAGCCTGCCGATTATGGTTGTAAGTCGTGATAGTCATAAAGTGGGTAGTCACATGACTGACTAAATTTTATGGCCTTTTTTTTTTTTTTTTTTTTTTTTTTGCAGAGGCTTTTAAGCAAAGGTGGCAATCATATGGCAAAGGCTGCAGAAGCTAAGCAAATCCATTGTTCTCTATGAAGCGTTTTTTGCAGTGGCGCAGTGGTTAGAATGCAGTGTTGCAGGCTAACTCTGCCCATTGCCAGGAGTTCGATCTTGACTGGCTCAAGATTGACTCAGCCTTCCAATCTTCCGAGGTTGGTAAAATGAGGAGCCAGATTGTTGGGGGGGCAATATGCTGACTCTCTAAAGTGCTTAGAGAGAGAGATGTAAGCACTATGAAGCGGTATATAAGTCTAAGTGCTATTGCTGCACGTCTATTTCTGGCAAAAAAATGTTAAATTGTGATCACGTGACCGTGGGATCCTGCCAACAGCCCAAAATTACCTCAGGAGGTAATTGGTTCCAGAGAGCCGGGGCAGCCACAGAGAAGGCCCTCCTCCACGGGCCCGCCAGCCGACATTGTTTAGATGACGGGACCCGGAGGAGACCAACTCTGTGGGATCTTACCGGTCACTGGGAGCTATGTGGTAGAAGGCGGTCTCGAAGATAGCCTGGTCCTGAGCCATATAGGGCTTTAAAGGTAATGACCAACACCTTGAATTACACCCGGAGACCAATAGGGAGCCAGTGCAGCTCGCAGAGAATTGGTGTAATGTGGGTGTATCTAGGTGCACCCACTATAACTTGCGCAGCTACATGTGGTCATGTGATCACAGGAGATGGGCAGCACCCATTATAACACTGAACAGTCACTAAACAAGCAGTTATGAGTCGAGGACTACCTGTATATCATCCCACTGCTGGTCATGGTGATCTTTTACTCCTCCCTCTTGGTTGTAGGAAAGCTTTGTACCCATGGTGTGCTAATGCCATCATCCTACCTTGTATTCATGTGCGGCATCATCCAAGGACACAACTGTGTGGGAACGGTGTTGGTGGGAGATCTCGCATGCTAAGCAAACTGCCTCCTGGTCTTCCTTACAGAAGAGGCGAAGCACTTCATTATGCTTCTCGCATAAGTTCTCATCCCGTATCTTTCGCTTATTGGTGACCTGGAGTTGCTTGGCAATCTCGACCATGTTGCCAAGCTGCCGGTTGGGCTTCAGAGAGCGGTGGCGGAAAGTCTTACGGCACACGGGGCAAGGGAAGTCTCGGTTCAAATCCTCCCACCAGCGGGTGATGCACACCCGGCAGAAGTTGTGGCCACAATCAATGATCACGGGGTCTTTCAGGTACTCCAGACAAACAGAACAGCTGGCTTCCACTTGGAGGTTCTCCAGAGGATTTGTGGTGGCCATGGCTCCTGTAACACAGAAGGGAAGGAACGTTTTAGTCAGAATCAACCAAGTTCCCGGTTTAATATTTTATCGTATAGAGATCCCATCCTTTCTCTAGAAAACTCTAGAAAAGCTTACATGTGCTCTTCATGTAAGACACTGAAAGATTGTGATGGCAAATGGAAATTGGTCCTTTCCTGAATTTGGGAGTTTTAGATTCAACAAACCTAAAACTTACAACCACAACTGAGCCCAAAATTTCTGTTGCTAAGTGAGCTTTGCCCCATTTTACGACTTTTCTTGCCACAGTTGTTAAGTGAATCACTGCAATGGTTAAGTTAGTAACACGACTTGTTAAGTGAATCTGGCTTCCCCATTGACTTTGCTTGTCAGAAGGCCGCAAAAGGGGATCACACGGCCCTGGGACGCTTGTTGCCAAGTGGCCAAATTTTGATCATGTGATCGTGGGAAATCCTGCAACGGTCGTTAAGCGTGAAAAAGTTGTTCTTTTCAGTGCAGTTGTAACTTTGAACGGTCACTAAACAAATGGTTGTAAGTCGAGGGCTACCTGTCCCCCCTCTGAAATTCAAGGAGGTTTCACTTCAAAAAGGTCAACACCAACAAAGGTGATAGCTGAGGTGGGCATCCTACCAACAAGCACAGCAGGTGTCAGAGTTCCAGAAAATAATAATAATAATTTTATTTCTATACCGCCCTTCTCCCGAAGGACTCAGGGCGGTGTACAGCCTATTTAAAACACAAAACAAAACAACGATTAAAATTTAAAATCATTAAATAATTAGGCTCCAATTAAAATCCCAGAAATTTAAAATACCCCAATTTAAAATTATTATGTTGATAGCCCGGCCTGGCAGAACAACAGGGTCTTCAGTGCGCAGTGCAACACCCGGAGGTCGGAGATCTTAGGCATTTCCGGGGGCAGTTCATTCCACAGGGCTGGGGCTCCCACAGAGAAGGCCCTCCCTCTGGGTGTCGCCAGCCGACATGACTTGGCCGATGGCACCCGGAGGAGACCCTCTCTGTGGGAGCGGACTGGTCGGTGGGAGGCTATTGGTGGCAGAAGTCGGTCTCGAAGGTACCCGGGTCCTATGCCATGGACCCAAGACCCCAACTCCAAGTAAAGACTCTGAAGCAAGCAGAACCTGCTTGACAGAACAAGCTATTCTTACTAGAATAGGTAAACTGGCATATCTGGGAAAACCGAGAGGTCCAGGTTTTCCCTCAGTAAATCAAACCCCTCCCCCAAACCATCCCCTCACTCCTCAGTCAATCACATGCTCCAATCAACCACTGTCCCATCTCGAGACCTCACTCCGACCACTCCTTCTCCAGATGCAGGATCTCCCTGTCCTTGACCGACAGGAAGAATGCTATTGTCTACAGACAACCCCTCTACTAAATCCCCCTTCCTACTTTCCCACACATGAGAAGGTGGCAGCATGGAAGCTTCCGGCCTAATATGGTTTCCAAAGCTGACAGCAGGACTGTGAAGGATCTAGATAGCCAAGAGGCTGAGAAGCCAAGAAATGGATGGCACGACTGCTAATAAATCTTCTAAAGCAGGAATGTCAAACTCAAGGCCTGTGGGCTGGATCCGGCCCTTAGGGTGCTTAGATCTGGCCCGCGGGGCCGCCCTGGAAACAACAAAGGACCAGCCTGTGGTGCCTCTTCTAGCAAAAACAGAGTTCAGGGAGGCTGTGCGCAGCCTGCCCAGGCTCCATTTTTGGCCACAACAGCCTTTTGCAACCCTCTGCCAGTGAAAACAGAGCTCGGGGAAGGCTGCACGTGCCCCCCCCACCCCATGGTCCGTTTTCGCTGGAAAAGGGCTGCAGGAGTCTTGTCACGGCTGAAAACGGAGCCTCAATGAGTGATGTCGAGCTGGCCACGCCCCCCCCGCTCCAAGGTCAAACATAAGCCTGATGTGGCCCTCAATCAAATTGAGTTTGACGCCCCTGTTCTAAAGATATCAGAAGCTAGAGGATTGTTAGGGTTCCGACTGACAAACCCAACCAAGCCAGCAAATAGAGATGATTAGATCTCTTTAAGCGTAACTTTATTGAGTACATCATTTCAGCACGCATGAAGCAAAACCAACTCTAGCTATTTCCCAGCAATTTTCGCACAATTAAAGAATAGATATTTCCCTCCCCTCCTTAGCACAGGTCACATTGTCCAAATTAAGTATACTGGTGTCTCCAGGGTCACTCCTTCAAGTCTCTGGTCAACACCCGTTGAGATGACCTTATTTATTTATTTATTTATTTATTTATTTATTTATTTATTTATTTATTTATTTATCCATCCATCCATCCATCCATCCATCCATCCATCCATCCATCCATCCATCCATCCATCCATCCATCCATCCATCCATCCATCCAAGTTATATCCATCCAAGCCCTTCTCTGTAGACTCAGGGTAGCTTACAATGCATTATAGCAATAGCCTGCATACTTTTTTGTATATACCTGCTTATTAGGGCTTTCGTGTCCCCCCTCCCCCAGCGATGTTGTTCTATACAAAGTTGGCTTATTGCCCCCACAATCCAGGTCCTCAATTTACCTATTTCGAAAGGATGGAAGGCCGAATCAACCTTGAGCCTGGTGAGATTCGAACTTGCACTAATTGCAGGCAGCTGGCAGCTAAGCGCTGGCACTTAACAGCACTTTAGTCCGCTGCACCACCGAGGCTCTTGGTTCTCACTGGCCGATCTCTTGTTGATGTCTGTGCTAACATTCCAAATCTCTCCCCTCCCCTTCCCCACATACTGTGTGGCAAGCTGAGAAACGAAAAGATGGCTGCGGCAGCACAGACTGGTTTCGAAGTTGACAAGGATATCCAGAATTCTAAATGGGCCACTTCAGGGGATCTCCAAAAATGGGAAAAGTTCAAGTGACCAAAATTAATCCACTTTTTAAAATCTTATCTCCTCAGTCATTGGTCAAAGTAGTGTACAATCACATTACTATAGACCTGAAAGGGATTCAGATCCGGTTGAATGAAAATCATGTCAACCTGGACCACCTTCCCTTGAACAGGATATGCAACTTCTACAGCATTTCTAGGAAACACCATTCAAAGAACAAACAAACAAACAAAAATCCAAAGGGTTCTACAGTAAGTCTACATAATGAAGCAATTAGCCAACAACATACACAACCAACTTCTACTCTACCCTGAGCAATCAAAATTTCCACATCAGCTATAAAAACGTGACTGAGCCAAGAGTTTCTCTAGAACAGGAGTGTCAAACTCGATTTCATTGAGGGCCACATCAGGGTTGTGTTTGACCTTGAGGGGCTGGAGTGGGCATGGCCAGGGTGGGCGTGGCCAGCTCGATGTCACTCGTGTCAGGGGCACCTGTGGTTTTCGCTGCCCCTGCCAGCGAAAACTGGCTCCTGAGCTCCGTTTACAGCTGTGACGGCCTCCTGCAACCCTCTGCCAGCGAAAACGGAGCTCAGGAGAACCCACATGCAATCCTCCTGAGCTCCGTTTTCACTGGCAGAGGCACCACGGGCCAGTACTTTGTTGTTTCCAGGGTGGCCCTGTGGGCCAGATCTAAGCACCCCCCACCCTTGAGTTTGACACCCCTGCTCTAGAACATCTCTTGATTACACAGTTCCCTCACTATGGAAACTATAAGCAGAGTTGCACTTAAATCAAACTCTGTTAATCTGGCTTTAGCAATGAGGAAGGAGGTAGCAGAATGTCTATCATGCCCTACAGCAAAACTATTACAAGCTAATATTCACCCCTACATGAGATTAGACTGTTGGGTAGCTGTGATCAATGGCTTTAACAATACTCTACCTGCTTGATTTATCTGGAGCTGATCGATTATCACAGGCATCTTCTTCTTTGGACAGGAGTGTGGATAGTCGAGATTTATCCACAGGAACTGATGAGTAAAAGCAGCCCAAACATGAAGGCTGTTTCCTTTCGTTTCTTCTTTAAAAACCAATTTATCTTGCAAAATAAGATATTTCTTGTATAATCTGCTTATCTGGTCATGCCAAAAAGAAAACAAAATTAAAATTAATAAATACAGTACTTCATATTCATAAAACAGCTTCTATAGTTCAAAACACATTAAATATATTATCTACTAACCTTAAAGAACACCAATAGAGATACTCAACTTACAACCGCAACTGAGCCCAAAATTGTCATTGCTAAATTGAGCATTTTTTTTACTTTACCACCACAGTTGTTAAATGAATCACTGCAGTTGTTAAGTGAATCTGGCTTCCCCCACTGACTTGGCTTGTCGGCAGCTGGATAGGAAGGTTACAAATAGTGACTATATGTGCAAGTAGGGGGCAATATAATTTTTTTAAAAAAGAAATGAATACATGCCAGTTGTCAAGCACCCAGATTTTGATCATGTGACTCTGAGGATACTGCAATGGTCATAAATGTGAAAACTGGTCATAAGCCACTTTTTTCAATGTGGTTGTAACTCTAAATCAGTGTTTCTCAACTTGGAAGCTTGAAGATGGGTGGACTTCAACTCCCAGAATCCCAAGGTTGAGAATCACTAAATGAACAATGGTAAGTTTACATTATTTCACCCAAATTGCAAATGTCTCCCTGACCTAAAAGTAATTCCTGGTTCAAGAAAAATCTGAATTCACAATCATTTGACTCAGCCCTTACCTTCGCAAGAGATACTATTACACAGATTTTGTAGAAATTCCTGATCATTATTAGGATTTTCCTAGACAATCAGTGATATTGTCAAAAGTGTAAGGCTGTTCAATGGCTGCAAAGGATACTGATGCTACTATTTTAAATGTGTTCTAACAACACGATTCCTCTCCATAGCATGGAAAGTACGATATATTTATTGTAGGAAAAACATATTTCACAGCTATATGTGTCATAGTCAACAAATGGCTAATATCCCAAATTGGTTGACAACATTGAGCACTTTTTGCTTACCAGAAGAGGGCTTACAAAGGGACAAACTTTGGTTTAGGCCAGAGGTCGGCAACCTTAAACACTCAAAGACCCACAAAGGCCCTAACCGGAAGCCCTCCGTTCAATTCTGGAGCCAACGGGAAGTCCGGTTCCCTCCACCAGTGTCTCCTCCTTGCGTGGCATCCTTTTTCCTCTGCCGACAGGAAGTCCGGTTCCCTCCACCATAAGAGTCTCCTCCTAGAGCGGCGTCCTTTTTCCTCTACCTATCCTAACTGAAAGCCCTATCAATTGTGGAGCTGATAGGTGACAGGGAGCCACAGCAGAGGGATGAAAGAGCCACATGCGGCTCCAGAGCTGCAGGTTGCTGACCCCTGGTTTAGGCATCTAAACAACTGATGATATACCAAATATTCCATCCGCTTTCCAAATTTCACTTCCAAAAAAGGCTGCCTTTTTAAAATTTGCCTTTGCTCCCTTTTCCTTCAGAATGTTGTGCTTGTGTGAAAACAACAAAGTTTGTCACCTTCGGTCTGTTGAGATACAGATTTATACCAATCCCCTGAAGAACGCACAACAACCTGCTTCTTAGAACAACTGTTCCAGAGACCCTCTTTACTTGAATGACAAGAAATTATCCTCTCCCTCAACAGAGTTACAACGAAAATGTGACTTATGACCATTTTACAAACTTACGACCGTTGCAGCATCTCCATGGTCATGACAACAAAACTCATATGCTTGGCAACTGACTCATATTTATGACGGTTCCAGGGTCCCAGGGTCATGTGATTACCTTTTGCGACCTTCTGACAAGAAAAGTTAATGGGGAAGCCAGATTCACTTAACAACCATGTTACTAACTTAATAATGGCAATGATTCACTTAACAGCCGTGGCAAGAAATGTTGTAAAATGGGGCAAGATTCACTTAACAACTGTTTTGCTTTGCAATAGAAATTTTAGGCTCAATTGTGGTCGTAAGTCAAGGACTACTTTCATTTCATCAGTATTGTAGTAGCACCACATGGTTGTTTAGCACCGTCCTCCTAGAAAAGGACCATGGGTGAGTGGGTGCCTATCGAAGGGGCAGGGAAGGAGGCTTGATCCAGCGCAAAGCTGGCTGAGGAATTCTGAGAGTTGAAGGCCACAAGTCTTAAAATTGCCAAGGTTGGAGACCCCTGCTCTAGCAGATTTGAAAAAGTGGCTTCATCATTTTCAGAACCAGGACAGCCGCACCAGCAGACGAGAAAGACCCCAACAACCCCAGAAGAAAAAATAGGAGCCATCTACAAGATACAATGCAAGGAGTGCAACAATTACTATGTAGGACAGGGGTGTCATCAGAGTTGTATTTGACCTCGGGGGGCCGGGGGGGGCATGGCCAGCTCAACATCACTTATGTTGGGGGCACCTGTAATGGCCCGAACGCTTTGCCAGTAGAGGCAACGCAGGCCGGTCCTTTGCTGTTTCCAGATCTAAGCACCCAAGTGGTCTGGGCCCGGCCTATAGGCCTTGAGTTTGACACCCATGATGTAGGACAAAGAGGCAGAAGACTGGCACAAACACCAACCAGCAGTCAGAAGACATGATGAAAATTCTTTAATCGCACAACATAGAGGCAGATTTAACCATAGTTTAAATTGGGGAAAACGTGGCCATCCTAGACCAAGCTAAGTTCCAAAAATGCCAGAGAATTTCTAGAAGCTTGGCACTCTGACAAACCAGCCATCAACAGACACCTAGACATTAATGACATCTATGCAAAAGAGACAATCAACCAGCCAAAAAGGAACAAAAAGACCCAAGCACACACCCCCCCCCACCAGCAGTCAGCACCCAGATCAGCACCGATTAGATTACCAAGGTTAACATCAGACCACAATCAAGTAAATAATACCTCAATCGAGAAACTGCCAAAGAAGCCAACAGTAAACAGCCCAACCAAAGAATCTCTAAGACTACTAGAATATAAACTGAGAGCAAACCTGACTCTTTACTAGCACTGATGGTATTACCTAGTAATGAAAAGTCTGTAAGAGAACAATCAAGCTGAGAGAACACCAAGGGCTCCTAGAGAATTATCTTGTAGAGATTGGAGCATGGATCTTTCTAGGAAGAGGCTCTTACCAGTCCCTTCCAGCTTGGATTCTCTCCAGCTTTTCCACACTAGAAAGCCTCTCAGACAGGACTAGGACCTTATTCTAACCTGAAAATGGCTTCTTAAAATTATGCACTCTCCTGTGCTAAATCCAGCATTCTCCAATGACTTCTCTGAGAATGGTTTGGGAATTAAGTTCCCAGCCTAGTTGAGGTGTTTAAAAAGGCTTTGGGTAAGAACCAACCATCATCTTTTATGTCAAAAAACACATCTTGTCAGGCAAGCCACTGGAATATAAACTGAGAGCAAACCCCACTCTTTACTAGCATCCATGTTACCCAGTTTGGGTAAGGAAAAGTCTATAAGAAAACAATCAAGGAAGAACACCAAGGACTCCTGGATAATTGCATTGTAGAGATTGGAGCATGGATCTTTCCAGGAAGAGGTCCAAAAACTGACTCTTTCTGGCTTTTACCAGTCCCTTCCAGCTTGGATTCTCTCCAGCTCTTTCACACTAGAAAGCAGACAGAACAAGGACACTTCTGACCTTATCCTAGCCTGAAAAATTCTTTTTAAAATTATGCACTCCCTAAGTCCAACATTCTCCAATTACTGCTCTGCCAATGGTTTGGGAATTAAGTTCCCAGCCTGGGAAGTTTAAAAAGGCTTTGGATGTAAAGTAAGTATCATCTTTTATGTCAAACACACATCTTGTCAGGCAAGCCACCAGAATATAAACTGAGAGCAAACCACACTCCTCACTAGCTAGCACTGATGATGTTGCCCAGTTTGGGTAAGGAAAAGTCTGTAAGAAAACTATCAAGCTTAGAGAACACCAAGGACTCCTAGAGAATTATCTCGTAGAGACTGGAGAATGGATCTTTCCGGGAAGAGCTCAAGACACAGACTCTTTCCAGCTTTTACCAGTCCCAATTTGGATTCCCTCCAGCTTTTCCACACTAGAAAGCCTCTGAGACAGGGCTAGGATGCCTTCTGACCTTATTCTAACCTGAAAAACTCTTTTTAAAATTATGCATTCTCCTATGCTAAGTCCAACATTCTCCAATTACTGCTCTGCCAATGGTTTGGGAATTAAGTTCCCAGCCTAGTTGGGATGTTTACAAAGGCTTTGGGTAAGAACGTAACTATACTCTTTTATGTCAAAAAACACATCTTGTCAGGCAAGCCACTAGAATATAAACCGAGAGCAAACCACACTCCTTACTAGCATCGATGTTACCCAGTTTGGGTAAGGAAGTCTATAAGAGAACAATCCACCTGAGAGAACACCAGGGACTGCTAGAGTATTATCTTGTATAGATTGGAGCGTGGAGCTTTCCAGGAACAGCTCCAGCAATGGACTCTTTCCAGCTTTTACCAGTCCCTTCCAGCTTGGATTCTCTCCAGCTTTTCCACACTAGAAAGCCTCTCAGACAGGACTAGGACCTTACCCTAATCTGAAAATGGCTTTTTAAAATTATGCATTCTCCCCTATGCTAGTCCAACATTCAATCCAATTACTGCTCTGCCAATGCTTTGGGAATTAAGTTCCCAGTTCCCTAGTTGGAAAGTTTAAAAATTGCTTTGGATAAGAATGTAGGTATCATCTTTTATGTCAAACACGCATCTTGTCAGGCAAGCCACCAGAATATAAACCGAGAGCAAACCACACTCCTTACTAGCATCGATGTTACCCAGTTTGGGTAAGGAAAAGCCTATAAGAGAACAATCCAGCTGAGAGAACACCAAGGACTGCTAGGGAATTATCTTGTATAGATTGGAGCGTGGATCTTTCCAGGAAGAGCTCCAGAAATGGACTCTTTCCAGCTTTTACTGCTCTGCAAATTGTTTGGGAATTATGTTCCCAGCCTAGTTGGGATGTTTTAAAAGGCTTTGGGTAAGAACGTAGGTATCCTCTTTTATGTCAAAAAACACATCTTGTCAGGCAAGCCACTAGAATATAAACTGAGCGCAAACCCCACTCTTTACTAGCATCAATGTTACCCAGTTTGGGTAAGGAAAAGTCTAAGAAAACAATCCAGCTGAAAGAACACCAAGGACTCCTAGATAATTACGTTGTAGAGATTGGAGCAGGGATCTTTCCAGGAAGAGCTCCAGAAATGGACTCTTTCCAGCTTTTACTGCTCTGCAAATTGTTTGGGAGTTAAGTTCACAGCCTAGTTTTAAAAGGCTTCGGATAAGAACGTAACTATACTCTTTTATGTCAAAAAAACACATCTTGTCAGGCAAATCACTAGATTACAATATAAAATGAGAGCAAACCCCGCTCCTTACTAGCTAGCACTGGTGATGTTACCCAGTTTGGGTAAGGAAAAGCCTATAAGAGAACAATCCAGCTGAGAGAACACCAAGGACTGCTAGGGAATTATCTTGTATAGATTGGAGCGTGGATCTTTCCAGGAAGAGCTCCAGAAATGGACTCTTTCCAGCTTTTACTACTCTGCAAATTGTTTGGGAATTAAGTTCCCAGCTTAGTTGGGATGTTTTAAAAGGCTTTGGTAAGAATGTAGGTATCATCTTTTATGTCAAAAAACACATCTTGTCAGGCAAGCCACTAGAATATAAACTGAGAGCAAACCCCACTCTTTACCAGCATCCATGTTACCCAGTTTGGGTAAGGAAAAGCCAATATAAAGAAAACAGCCAAACTCAACCAAGGATTTCAATCCTGAGCTCCAAAATATTCTCCCTTTTTTTATTAGCAATTAAAAAAAATTAGTACTTTTATCAGTAACACAATTGCAAAGGTTTGCAATGGAAATCAACCTACCTTCCCCCCGTGTAGAGCCACGCGAGGGGGAGAGTCAGAGGGGAAGCGGCGCTGGCGGCGCAGGAAAGGCTGGAACCCTCCGAGGGTCCAACGAGGCGGGCAAAGGCGGGACTGCCATAGGGCTGGACCGGACGAGCCTGGCTAGGCAGCTGCCATCAGGCCCCGGCCAGCAGCCCAGGCCTGAGCCTCCTCCTCCTCCTCCCCTGCCTCCCTCCCCGCCGAAGCCTCGGTTCCCGCGGGCGGCAATCAGGCACGGCCTAGCCCGCCTGCAGCCGCCCTCATCTCTCTTCCTCCTCCCCGCCCCCCACCCCTCAACGCAGAAGACTCTCCGCTCTGCGCGTCACCGGAAGCGGCCCTTCTAGCCCCGCGGAGACCATGGGATCCCGCGAGGCCGGTTCTGCTCTCCGACTCGATGGTGAGGAGGACTCTTGGGCTTTTTTTTTTTTTTTTTAAATCGAGGATCACAGTGGCAAGCCCTTTCCTGGGTACCTAAGTTCAAGGGTTTTTTTTTTTCCGGTTGGCCGTAGACTCGTACTTGTAGAGTTGTAAAAGAACGCGAACTTCTGGGATCGCTTTGATGATTCTACCCTCCACGCCGCCACCACCACCCACACACAGACAGACAGACAGACAGACAGACAGACAAAGAGATAAACATACAGACTTCCCTTTTGGGGTAGGGTAGGGCGGTTTTTTAGGGCGGAAGTGAGAGAATAACGAACGAAAGAAGACTTCAACTCCCAGAATTCCTCAGCCAGCCTGGCCGAAGGAATTTCACGTTCCGAATTGCCTTAGAAGGCGGGGCGTTTAGGACAGTGTTTTTTTTTTTCCAACTTTGGGAATTTCCTCTTTAAGAGGTATGGACTTCAAATCCCAGAGTGCTTTCCAATGAGCATGCTGGCTGGGGGAATTCTGGGAGTTGAAGTCCGCATCTCTTAAAAATTCCCAAGGATGAAAAACGCTGATTTATATGAAATGCTTGGTCTTTGCGGATTTTACCATAGTAAAATACAGTAAGCCAGCATCAGTGGTGGGTTTCAAAATTTTTTACTACCGGTTCTGTGGGTGTGGCTTGGTGGGTGTGGCATGGCTTGGTGGGCATGACAGGGGAAGGATACTATAAAATCTCCATTCCCTCCCCACTCCAGGGGAAGGTTACTGCAAAATCCCCATTTCCCCCCAATCAGCTGGGACTTGGGAGGCAGAGAAAATAGATGGGGGCGGGCCGAACTACCGTATTTTTCAGAGTATAAGACGCACCTACCTTTTTTGGTGAGGAAAACAAGAAAAAGAAATCTGCCTCTGCCTCCCAGCAATTTTGCCTCCTTACAGCAAACAGCCTGCTTTACTTTCATTTTCACTTTCAGCATTGTTTGACTAGCAGAAGGAAGGAAAAAAATCTGCTCCAGCAATTTACTTCTTTGCAGCAAGCAGCAGAGCCTGTGCAAAACAGCTGAGAGCAAATCAGCTGAGAGTTGGGAGGCGCAACTTGTGCTAATTAGGCTGTGCTGAAGCTGAAAGGAGCTGTTTTTTCTTGCTGTTTGCTTGCAAGGAGGTAACTGCTGCGAGGCAGAGGCCAAAGGGTGGGGGGCCAGTGGGTGGGCGGGGCTACATTTGATGTATAAGACGCACCTAAATTTTTACCCCCTTTTAGGGGGGAAAAAGGTGCATCTTATACTCCGAAAAATACAGTACTCAAAAATTTCCACTACCGGTTCTCCAGAACTGGTCAGAACCTGCTGAAACCCATCTCTGGCCAGCATGGTTTATGCGATGCAACTGGGAAGAGAAACCTGGGCAAGAACATGTAGACATCCGTTCAGTTCACAAATCTTAAAAGTTGCCAAGTTTGGAGAGCCCTCGCTTTAAGACAAGAGCCACCGCGCCAGCAAATGAGGAAACAAAGCGCCCGCGGCTAAGGGAGGCATGGAGACATACGTTCCACCTGACACATGTGCAAACAAAAGAGCACCAAGGAACTCCCTCATTTCAACCCTGAGCTACAAATATTCTTCTTTATTGAGACTTCTTTCTGAACGGCACTCAGCCCTCGGGCGATGCAAATGTTGATGCTTTTATGGCACAAGTGGCACAAGTGACACAAATGCCAAGACTTCCCAGCACGCAAGATGTAATATACTTAGTGGCAGTGGTGAAATTCAATTTTTTTTAATACCGGTTCTGTGGGCGTGGCTTGGTGGCATGGTGGGTGTGGCTTGGTGGGTATGGCAGGGGAAGAATACTGCAAAATCTCTATTCCCTCCCCACTGCAGGGGAAGAATACTGCAAAATCCTCACTCCTGGGGGAAGGATATTGCAAAATCTCCATTCTCACCCCACTCCAGGGGAAGGATACTGCAAAATCCCCACTCCTGGGGGAAGGATACTGCAAAATCTCCATTCCCACCCCACGCTGGAACCAGCTAGAGGTAGTATTTGCTGGTTCTCCAAAGTACTCAAAATTTCCACTACCGATTCTCCGAACTACTCAAAATTTCTGCTACCGGTTCTCCAAACTACTAAAAATTTCCGCTGTCAGTTCTCCGAACTACTAAAAATTTCCGCTACCGGTTTTCCAGAACCTGCCAGAACCTGCTGGATTTCACCCCTGCTTAGTGGTGGAAAATAGAAGCCTGAGCTAATTTAATGAATGTCCTGAGCAGTAATAGGATAAAGCAGCATACTGGCTGTAAGAAGCTATGAGCGATTTTTTTCCCATGCATGCCAACTTTATGCACAAGGGTTAACCAGAGATGAGAAACCTCTCATCTGACTCACTCTTTGCATCAAAACCAATCAAAGTGCAGATGGAAAACAGCAACCGCCACTCAATTGCCCGCAAAGGAGCAAGAATTTGACTGGGGAAGAAGCCTTCAGGGGCTTCGTGAGGGGTGATAAAGGCAGGGATGTCCCCGGATTAGGGATACATTTGCCGGTGGCCGACACATATTTTGAAAGACTGAGGATTGTTAGAATCACCGTGTAGCACCCCAAAAGCTCTGAGAAATATTCAACCTATCTGGGTGCTTTGCTTTCTTTTATTCAATTCCGATCCCGCCTTTCCATTCCGTCAAACAGCCAAGGTCTCTAGCAAAAACTAACATACCAAAAAGAGGGTTAAAGACCACGCTGTGGGTCTTGTTGGAAAAGGCAATGATGTTTTTCAAAAGTGGTGAAACTCGGAAGGGATTCCCAATTTCCCACCGAGTTTCTTGAGATTGGAGCACATTGGCCAACCCTCACAGGCCTTGCTTTAAACGCTTCACAACAAAGCTTCAGCAGATGGCAGCACAAAGCCCAATTTGGCTGAAGCTCAGCAGGCTGGCTTCTTTTGCAGATATTTTATTTTATTTCTATAGCTGCCCATCTTGAACTCGTGACTCTGGGCGAGGAACGGTCGTAAAATAGTTAAAAATAGTTACGATATAATACAAAACGAAATAGATACCTGCCAGACCAGAAGAAATGTCACCAAAGATGCTATTATAGCTCTTTATGGGTAAAATATATGTGTTCAGGAAAGCTGCACTGACGCAGCTGCAAAGGATCGAGCTGCAATGATTTGCGAATGGACCTTGCGGAGCTCAGAATCACTTGCAGGGCATCAGTCTGAATGAGCCCATTTCAGCTGAGCCTGTGTGGGATTATCAGATTGAAGCCATGGTAAGGATTCAAAGGATCCCGTAGTGTGGCTGTGCCTCTCCGGCTTCCACAGAAGACTGAACTAAGGTTCAACCAGTGGGCTTTTTATCTGAGTAAATGTGCATTGAATTTGACTTTCTGCAAGTCTATTGGAGCGGATGTACCTATCCATCCGTCCATTCCTCCATCCCAGGGGTGGGTTCTAATTTTTTTTTACTACCGGTTCTGTGGGCGTGGCTTATTTTGTGGGCGTGATTTGATGGTCATGTGACAATTCTTTAGGATTTAGCAGAGGTACTGGTCTACCAGGCTTTTAACTGCTTGCAGAGCTGTACCGGTCTACCCATTTGTTCTTGGAGCGTTCCGGTCTACCCATTTGCTTTTGGAGGCACCGGTCTACCCATTTGCTTTTGGAGGCATCGGTCTACCCATTTGCTTTTGGAGGCACCGGCCTACCCTTTTGCTTTTGGATGCACCGGTCTACCTATTTGTTTTTGGAGGCACCGGTCTACTCATTTGTTTTTGGAGGCACCGGTCTACCTATTTGTTTTTGGAGGCACCGGTCTACCCATTTGCTTTTGGAGGCACCGGCCTACCCATTTGCTTTTGGAGGCACCGGCCTACCCATTTGCTTTTGGAGGCACCGGCCTACCCTTTTGCTTTTGGAGGCACCGGTCTACCCATTTGTTTTTGGAGGCACTGGTCTACTCATTTGTTTTTGGAGGCACCGGTCTACCTATTTGTTTTTGGAGGCACCGGTCTACCCATTTGTTCTTGGAGCGTTCCGGCCTACCCATTTGCTTTTGGAGGCACCGGTCTACCCATTTGTTTTTGGAGGCACCGGCCTACCCATTTGCTTTTGGAGGCACCAGTCTACCCATTTGCTTTTGGAGGCACCGGCCTACCCATTTGCTTTTGGAGGCACCGGTCTACCCATTTGTTTTTGGAGGCACTGGTCTACTCATTTGTTTTTGGAGGCACCGGTCTACCTATTTGTTTTTGGAGGCACCGGTCTACCCATTTGCTTTTGGAGGCACCGGCCTACCCATTTGCTTTTGGAGGCACCGGCCTACCCATTTGCTTTTGGAGGCACCGGTCTACCCATTTGTTTTTGGAGGCACCGGTCTACCTATTTGCTTTTGGAGGCACCGGCCTACCCATTTGCTTTTGGAGGCACCGGCCTACCCATTTGCTTTTGGAGGCACCGGCCTACCCATTTGTTTTTGGAGGCACCGGTCTACCTATTTGTTTTTGGAGGCACCGGTCTACCCATTTGCTTTTGGAGGCACCGGCCTACCCATTTGCTTTTGGAGGCACCGGTCTACCCATTTGTTTTTGGAGGCACCGGTCTACCCATTTGCTTTTGGAGGCACCGGCCTACCCATTTGCTTTTGGAGGCACCGGCCTACCCATTTGCTTTTGGAGGCACCGGCCTACCCATTTGTTTTTGGAGGCACCGGTCTACCTATTTGTTTTTGGAGGCACCGGTCTACCCATTTGCTTTTGGAGGCACCGGCCTACCCATTTGCTTTTGGAGGCACCGGTCTACCCATTTGTTTTTGGAGGCACCGGTCTACCCATTTGTTTTTGGATGCACCGGTCTACCTATTTGTTTTTGGAGGCACCGGTCTACCTATTTGTTTTTGGAGGCACCGG